TTTATGATAAAAATTCGAAACACTTAAAGAAATCGAAATGCGGTGGCCTAATCTTAAAATGGAGGTCGTTTTCAAAATCTACGGCTCCGGAAACATAAGAATACATCCTCATATGAAAAAAATCCGAAAAACTCAAAGAAATTGAAATGCGGTGGCCTAATCTTAAAATGGAGGTCGTTTTCAAAATCTACGGCTCCGGAAACATAAGAATACATCCTCATATGAAAAAAATCCGAAAAACTCAAATAAGTCGAAACGCGGTGGCCTAATCTTAAAATGGAGGTCATTTTCAAAATCTACAGCTCCGGAAACATAAAAATACACCCTCATATGAAAAATATCCGAAAAACTCAAATAAGTCGAAACGCGGTGGCCTAATCTTAAAATGAAGGTCGTTTTCAAAATCTACGGCTCCGGAAACATAAAAGTAGACCTTTATATTGGATAAATTCTAAAAACTTAAATAAGTCAAAACACAGTGGCGTAAACATAAAATGGATGTCATTTTCAAAATTTACTGATCGGGAAACATAAAAATACACCCACATATCGAATTTGTCAAAAAAACTTAAATGATTCGAAACGCAGTCACGTAATCTTAAAATGGAGGTTATTTTCAAAACTAGGTACAGGACAGCATAATACTAGTCCCTAAGAAATCCGAATAGGTACAATAAATCGATATCCTTAATTGAAAATTCTACTTAGGAGAGCATAATAATAGACTTTCATAATGGAGGGGGGGAGGGGATGGCCATTATTTAAAAAAAAATAAATAAAATTTACAAAAACTTAAAACATTATTTTGAAATGAAAACTGTTGAATTTGAATTGGAAAAGGTTTAATTTGAAATGGAAATGGTTGAATTGACTTGGAAAAAGTTTGATTTGATCTGGAAAAGGTTGAATTTGACTTGGAAAAGGTTGAATTTGACTTGGAAATAATTGAATATCACATAGAAATATCACACTGAAAAAATCTAAAATGTTAAAATAAATGGATATGCAACTGCGTAATCAAATTTTTTTTTGTATTTTTTAAAAGCTATGCCGTCGATAATATAGTAAGTGGCCTTCATTTCGAAAAAAATCGAAAATTGACAAAAATTCTAAAGTTGAATTTGAAATGGAAAGGGTTGAATTTGGCTTGGAAAAGGTTGAATTTGAAATGGAAAAGGTTTAATTTGACTTGGAAAAGGTTGAATTTGATTTGGAAAAGGTTGAAATTGACTTGGAAATGCTATATATAACATACTTCAACGAAAAGAAGCTGGAAAAAAGTTACGAGGGATGGTAAAATTAAATTCTGGATAATCCAAAAAGTATACACTTTTTTGTTGATATTGCATATGGTTTTTTAAAAGTTTACGGAATTTTCTAAAAAAAAAAAAAAAATCGTTAAATTCGGACAATTAGGAGGAAAGATATGGTCTGTAGCTTTTTTTTTTTTTAATATGTTCAGCTTCAAAGCTTATATCTTTTTTTTTGGTTTTTGAATTTTGTTTTAGCATATTACTAATGATTAAAAAAAAGTTTAGTCCAATAATTGGAATTTTTAACTTGGAAGGTAATGATACTTTAGATGTATAATTGTTATTAAAAAATAGTAAACTATTGTGAAATAATTTGCAGTTTTTTATATACAGTGCATATTGTTGACTGGTTAATATTCATTTTTTTTAATGTTATAATGTGTTTTGTTGTATAAATGTGCTAATGTCCAATAGTAAGTCATCTGAAAGGAAATTTTATCTTTTTGTTTTCAGATGAAAATTCAAAATATACCGTAAAAACAGATTTTATCCCGAAAGAGGCGAAAATTTGGATAAATTTAAAATATACTTTTTTAATTGTTGAGGCTAAAAAAAAAATTTTTTCTACAGATATTTAATAAAGTATCTTTCATAAGAAATATGTACCTAAATTCATACCTTTTTCACCGTTCTATATTTCAACACTGCAATCACCACCTCCGGAATCAACTTACTGTCTACATTGATAACTTTTTCAACTAAAAATATCACTAAAATGACATTATTAAAAAATGTTGAAATTGGAGTTGGAGTCATTCTGTGGTTTATAAAAGCAAAGAAAGTTGAGTGGTTTATAAAAGCAGATGGAGTGACTAAATTTTTATTGCCTACCGTCGCTATATTAAATAGACATTTTGTAATTATAATGGTCTTAATGACTTGTTATCTATAAGCTTTAAGGTTTATCTCTGTTTAAAATGCACTTAAAAAAAATTTATAACAGCCCAGCATTGCCAGAAAGTAATTGCTATTCAAAGTAGAGTGGTAAGTGAAAGTTGTGTGTTGCGCGCACCAGATTTTTTTTAAATGACAGTCGGTCTTTATATATGTATGTGTGTGTATAGTTATTCCTATTTTTATTGAGCTGCGTATTAACTCAGTAATACTAGAAATAATTATAAAATCGATCGTAGTATGTTAGTAACCTATAAACTGTTTCATCGTTAAAATAAATAAAGATGTTAAGATAGGTTGTATTTAATCTAGTACGACCCTTAACTTAGCAGGCCAACCAAGTAAATTGGAATGTTATCAAGAATCAGGGGCGTGTTTTCGAGGCACTGGTCTCTCTGAGGAAATAAATTTGTCCTTTTTCATTTTATTAGGGTTTGCTTAGATATTCCTACAGAAGTAACAATCGCAATAGTGTTTTATCATTTTAATTCCAGAAAATTATTATGACTAATAATAATTGAAAAAAATTGTTATGAGCCATAATAATGAATTCATTTGAATTAAAAAAAAAATACTTTTTTTTCATATCGATTTCAATTCCCTGGAATACTCATTCAGGAATGAGTTTTATCTGGTATCACAAAATATAAAATAAAATTCACTTTTCTGTATTACAATTAGTGGAAGAAACGCAATATTTTATTTTAACTTTAATTAAACGGTATTCATTCAGTTCTCATTTCATATTATCTTTAACCCAGTAATTAATTTTATTTTCTGAATTTCTATTTTTTAAATTTGTTATTGGAACTACTATTTCCTTAAATTTTAAGTGATACATTCATTTAATATAAAATACAACAGCGCTTTTTGGAATGGTAATCGGGTTTGGAATTTAAATCGGATTTGTTGTAGACGTTTAATATTAGTTTTAACATTTCGTTAATTTTTAGCAGTTTAATTGGTTTTCAGTGGTCTGTAAAAAACAATATAGCAATGCAATAATAAAAAATTATTTCAAAAAAGAAAATAATGCTTATTATACGTTTATCAAGAGTGCCAGTTTCTTTGATTATGATTAGATAAAAAATCATGCTTAAAGTTGTATTTATGAATATTATTTTCATTTACCAATATAACACCATGATCCTAATTATAAGATAAATAATTCGAGCATTAATAATAAAAATTATGGTTTCAACAATGTAATCTATTTTTAAATGCTTAACTCAAATTTTTTTATCTGATTATTTTGATGCTATTACAAATGAAGAATACCAAATAATTTTTATAATAAAAAAAGTATATGGATTTGAAATCGTTGAGGTAACATAGGTTTGATGACACGAGATGAAAGAAACACTTTTTCCAGAGCCAAACAATTCTGTAAGAATACTAAATCAATAATTTACAAATAATAGAATAAACGCAAAAACAATGATGCAAATAATAAAGAAAGAGAAAAATGAAAACAAATATTAATTTATATAAACAAGTACATATTATAATTTTGTTTAAATTAAAACAAAAAATAAAAAAACTTTGCAAACTCCTCTGATTTATTCCACACGTATAACCTAAATTGCGAATATTGCTGGCTGTTTGACAATTTGTTTTTGCTCGTATCAATTTACATAGTAATCTAAATAATCTGATGGTAAAACTTTAATCAACTCAGAGATTTATTTAATCAGATACACGAACCATACAAAACCTAACAAGCTTTTAATAGTATCATATCGAATATTTGCTTTATACCGAATTTATCCGTATGTCGAGTCTGTAGATACATATTAGAAATACGTCCCAAGTTTAAATAACCTAAGTTGATAAAATTATAGATGCAGCCTCCTAATCTAGATATAATTTTTATTTATTAAAAACTAACTTACTTAAACTTATCTAACTGTTACAAATACATACAGATCATTTTAAAATCAGATTATATTATTTCTTTGTCATAACCGCATTAAATGACATGAATGAATCATTCCGGAAAAGCGAATACAATCTTACATTATAGTATTAAAAGAGAGATAACTTCGGAAACAAAAAGTTAATAAAAACAGACATCCTAACATCATGCACATCTAAAATGTTACATACATAAGACATATTGAAATGTAATTCAATAATCAATATGGTGGCTCTAACCTATAAAGTTGTACACGGCACCTAAAATACAACCAACAAAATAAATAAATCTTAAATTACATTAAATATAAATAAGCAGAAACTAAACATAAACCTATGAACTATTAAATACATATTGCTTTTGGGTAAATGTGTTTTCGTCATTTTATAAAAACCTTTTATCATCGCTTACAATTATTTGACATATAAATCTATAATGATTCAAAGTAGTCGAATATTCATGTTAAATGTTTGTAGAAAAAGATAAAAGTAAAACTTAATATCTCTTTTAATTTTGAAAGCGTATCCTTATCTTTGATGAACTGTAAAAATATCAGCTGATTGAGTTCTGAAGTATTTGCTTATACCTTTTATATCTATTATTTTAACTCGATTGACAAATTAATCCCAACCTGTCCTTTTCAAGTGGTAACATCTGATGAAAAGTGGTCCCCAAAGTGTTGGGATTTATGCTAATTATAATTTTATATTAATGTTGTCGTATCGTTTCATTAATAAATAAAGATATTTTTTATATTTATTACTCCTTCTGAACAATCTCCAACTTTCTATGTACAAAGAAGTGTGAATTTATAATCAGTTATTTATTGATTCTCGAGCGATAAGAGCGATTCGAAGGAGTTATAAATACTTTTATATCAGTAGAAGTTTAGCCATGATTGTCGCACCAGTGTTGTTCTTGTTTCTTGTTCAATGTGGCGCTCTGGACCCTAATGAGGCTATGGATGAAGCTCTGGCTATCGTTGCAAAGAATACTGCCAAAAAAACAGCTGTAGAAGATATTATAATCCAGAGGAAGAATGTTGGCTGGGTTTTCTTCCCTGTTGATCTAAAACTGACTGGCAACACTCTGGAGGACGCCACTTCTATCACTCGAGTCAGCGACGTTGTACTCGTGAAGCTGAGACACCAGGGTAGGTTAGAGGTTCAGCTGTCTCTGAAGAGCATGAGAGTGAACTACGGGAACTTCGACCTGAAGATACCGCTAATGCATCTCTCAGGATCCGCGGACCTCGAGCTCCAGGAGAACTCCTTCGGGCTGACTGTGTACTTCCAGGAAGACTGCGACAAGTCGAAGGTATACCTCTGGCCTCCTCACGGCCAGGCCTACGCTACCATCCGATCAAAATGGTGGTTCTCCAAACCGGCCCAGTGGATTTTCGACTTCATCAACCACCACGTCTCCGGTGACGTCATGAATAGCGATCTTCTCCTGGAACCGTTGAACAACGCCCTCGCTGCTCCTCTCACTAGTGCCATCAAAAAAATATTTTGTCCGGTAGTTTATAAATAAATTTATATCTTTCACTTGTATATATATATATAATAACCTGTCTCATATTTTGGTCTGATGTCCACTTATATTTTCTTTTGTCTTATCAGAGATACATTTTAAGGTTTTTATGTACAATCGTTTGTTCAACTCATACCAATATTTTGAATCCAATATCACTGAAATCACTAAAAATCATTTACCAAACTTCGTTTTTATTATAGTTGTTCATAATTAAATCATATTGAGAATTATAATTGTGATGGTTTATTTTATTTTTAAATAATATTTTTTTTTAAATTAATAAGTGATTTTATTCATTTATATTTTTACTATATTAAATTTTATATTTGTGTGAAATGGTTGTTTTTTTTTTTGTTATTTCGCTTGAATTGTTATTGGATTTTTTAAGTATTAAAAATAAAAATCATCAAAAGGTAGTTAACCGCCTTAATAGAATAAAAATTAGGAATAAATATATTTTATTCATCATAAAAAGTTAAATTTTAAGAGTATTATTTGAATAGCTTTTTCGCTCCGAATCATACACCATCTTTTCTCCATAAACGAAACATTTGACAACTAACATTCCATCCTTTATAATCTTTCAGTATAAATTTATAAATAATTATCTTTTTTTTATGAAAAGAGATAAGATAATTTGTACTTGAGTAATAATTGTAAAAATATATTATATCTGACATTATTTTTCCTTTTTTCCGTTTTAGTTTTCATAATTCACTGATGCCGATGTTCGATTTGAAGGAACTACTAAATTGGTGCTCATACCACTTTGGCAAACATAGGATTTACTTATTGCAAAGTAACTTGTAGATCACAATGAAATTTTCCCTAAAGTTTTTTTTATTTTGTTCTTTATGTTTTACACCAAAAGTGAAACTGGAGGCATGAAAAATATTAACAAATATATTCATATATTTTATAAATAAAGAATCCAGAGAAAACTCGGGCTAAACTTAAAATGTATATATTAACTCGAAAGAGATCAAGATATCATCTGAAATAAATTCTAAAGAAAAGATCATTAACAAATAAAATAAAACAAAATAAATAAAAATCATCTTAACGTTATAAAAATGCAAGTTATTCTCCTGTAGATAATCTTTCTTTTTTTCTTAGAACCCAGCTCTCAGTTTAATATATTTTAGGAAAAACAAAATTCATAAGCAAGATAACTATTCCTTTAGATACTTTTCCAACACAAGGAATTAACAGTTCAGTAAACACAGTACTATTGATGAATTCTATGAATTAGGATCATTTAGCGATGTAAAAGCATATTTATTATTGTATATATACTGTTATTCTTAAGGGACACAGTTACAGAATAAATTTGATTTTTCTTTGCTATTCTATTGCATTTATTTTTATTTATTCGTAATTGCATAATAAGCTTTACAATTATAGATATTTACATATATTATCCTGTATGTAATCATCATATCATATCATCGTATATATAATCATACGGCTAGCTAGTAGTAACATCACTGTAACTCGTTGCCTGGGAATATTCTATATTTCAAGGAGATACGCCAATATTTCAAAAAGGGCTCGTTCGATTTGGCTCAAAGTTAGATAAAAGGTAGGGTGATGGTTAAAAAAAACGTAATGTAAATTTTCTTCAATTCTGCCCACTGATTTCTGGCATATCTGCGCAAACGTGTTTTCCTTGATAAGTCTATATCTCTAAAATCGCATGTTCGAATTGGCTCAAATTTGGAGGGAGTTTAGGGATTGGTAAACACATAATCAAGTAGGTATGAATTTCATTAAATTCTGCCCACTTCTTCTAGAAAAAATACTTTCGCTTTCGGATTAGCAAACGTATTTGGCAAGCCTACAGTTTGAAAAATGGCCTTAAATTTGAACCAAACTTGGAGGTAATTTGGAGGATAGTATAGAAATTTCCTAATATGAATCTGATTGAATTCCATTTAATAATTAAAGTTAATATAAATAATCGTTAGCAATATAATGACAGTGAAATGTGGAAGGCACTGATCATATGGAGTGGGAGTTAGGTTATGACAATATTTTTATGGGGTTATACAATTTTAGGATTTATTCAAAGAGTTAATTTATACTGTATTTTTTTGTCAATTCCAAACGTTACTTAGATCTCATGTAATTTCCAATAAATTTAATTAACTTTTACTCTGAATTTGTAAAAAAGGAAAATGTAATTTGTGATTCTGTTTATTTCTATTGAAGTTCAACCAGCTCGCTTTATAGTTTATGTGTAATTTTTACATATATTTTTATATTCCAGCTTGAATAGTTTTGTTCTGACTGAAGAAAATTATTGTCTCGTTAACTCAGAAAAAAACTAAAAGTTTAGTTTTTCTTATGGAGTTTTTGTAACATCTATTTTACGAGTGAAAACATGCCGATTAGGCAAATGTTACTACTGTACATGTAAGCATTCCTGCTACGATGAAAAATAGCAGATGACAATAAATTATGAAATTATACTAATAAATCATAACGAAACAATTAGTTTTTATAATTTCCTGGAAAACACTCAATGTTTACATACATTCGCTGATGAGCAAAACTCGTGGATATCAAACCAGTATATGTTGAGGGATTACTAAATTTCCGCAAAAGGCTTCTCCCATAGATTTTATTCTCATACGAAAAATTGTATACCGTGTAATACAGATATTTTTTAGCCAATGCAAACGGTGAGGAAGCTATACTGACCTTTCTTGGAAGACGATTTTATTTTATATTTGTTTCAACGTTCCTCGCTCTTCAAATTGTTTTTTTTATTCAGTGTAATAGCTTATTATTTCAAACCCCAATCAATAATGTATTAATTATAAGATAACTACCTTATGCTTCAGATAGCCATACCCGGAAGATCGTAAACTACTGATGTAAAGAAGATACTTCCGATAAACTTTGTTGGATTTCAGTTTCTCTGTAGCAATATTAATATTAAATGAAAATCCAAAATAGATATTTGGATCATCTGACCCTGAATTTGGCCATATAAATCTGCAAAAGTGAAAACCATCTTGGTCAGCTTAGTTTCCCACGTAACGCAAAATTACCCCAATTGAATTCTACAAAGTATTGAACAACAAAGCCTAGCAGCTCATGTGTGTCACAAGTTTGTCTCACGTATTCCACGTTCATCCGGTGGGTGGCGTAGAAAGTTTCGAACCATTTAACGGCCCTCCTCAATTGGTATCAGACCTCAGAATGGTAATATACAAAATGAGAAAATGGTATCAGAAATTTTCGAATAGTAATATTTTAATAGGTTTGTTCTCCACCATTTTGTTTAAGTTAACGGATAACAGATTACATTCCAAGGCATTCCATTTAGAAACGAAAATAAATTTTGTTTTGTCCAACATCTAAAAACATTTTCTTGAGAAAAATTTCCAAAAAAGGTGTAACATACAGACAATAATTTGAAAGTTTATTTACGACATTAAATATCTGTTATAATCAAAGATTTCAAATTCTTAGTACAAGGTGTCAATTGATTTTTATACCAAGACAAATAAAAGTTAATAACGTATATTGAATAGTTGTCCGTTGCATTATAAAGGAAGGAAATGGCTCGGGGTGGTGGTCATAAATAGGGTAAATAGTGCCAAACTATTTTATTAAAAGCCAACGTTTCGACCCGACTTTGCTGGTCTTCTTCAGATCTAGAACGGAAAAGATACAAACAGATATAGAGAATTGTGGAAGTTACATAATATTTAGACAAAAAATTATAAACAATGTGAATAAGCTTGCTGAAATTATAAACGGTAAGTACATTAAAATATAAACAGAGTAAGCTAAGTAACAAGATCCTAAACTGAAGTAAATAGATGGTAACAATTATTGTAGTGTAATATATAATATATGCAAATGTGAATATACTACAGGAGAGATTGAAAGAAAAGGAAAAACGATATAATAGACAAAAAGGAATGTGGAGAAACAAAAGAAAACAGAAAACCAAAAAATAAATATACAAGTAAATAAAATTAGAAGAATAAAAATAGAGACTTACAGGTTTGTTCAGCATGGAATTTCACTTAGAACTGGAAAATCAGGGTAAGAGTAGGTATTGGGGAATTTGCTGACCTGTTTTGGGTCAATGGGAAAAACTAAGAAAATTACAATATCTAAAATTTGAAGATATGTATGAATAAAAGGGGAAAATACTATATCTATAAAATAATAAATTATAAATGTATACATATACAAATAAAATATAATTAAGAGATTATAGATAAGAGTACAAAGTGAATAAAAACAAAAATGGAAGAAGTAAAACATACATAGAAGTAAAATATAAATATAGAAATAAGAGAACATACATTGCAGAACTAATTTAGAAGTATAGAGAGGAAAAAAATATATGAATAATTATAATTATATTCGGTTGTAAATATGTAAGAAAATTACATTAAAATATTTTTATTTTTTTTAATTTCTTTATTGAGTATTATAACAATCTGTCTGTTGGACATTGGTTATAGTGAGGTAGGATGACATTCACACCATATGTACAAAAAAATAAAATAAATAGAACAAAATAATAATCAAAAGTATATACAATAGACAATAAAATAAAATAACCTAAAAAATAAGAAAATTAAAACTAAGGAAAAAAATAAATAAATAACATGCATACCTATATACAATCAGGCGAGGGAACTCCAGGAGAACCTCGCGCTACTCTTCCAACCGCGTCACTGGTACTAAAGCCAGCGGAGATTGGTCGAGAGCACTTTAGCCACATACACACTTGTCTTGAGTGAAGAATCTGGCCATTGCCAGAACTCCAATTTATATAATCTACAAAAGGTCGCGAGGCCACTGCCGTTTCAACCTTCTTGGAGGATTATAGGGATGGGAGATGCTTGATAGGGATTGTGCAAGAGGATTTGGGTGGTAAGTAAGGTTCTGGTGAAATTTGGAGAATTTTTCTGGGATAAGGTCTAGGACAAATGGGATGTTAAGGTCATGATGTAGGGTTTTGTTGGATACATAGAAAGGAGCATCGACTATTGTTCGAAGGACTTTAGACTGGAAGGATTGGATGAGCTTGATGTTAGAAAATTTTGCTGATCCCCACAGTTCTAGTCCGTAAGTCCAAATAGGTTTCAGTATTGTCTTGTAGATCAGTAGCTTGTTTTCAATGGAAAGTTTAGATTTTCTGCTTAGTAGTCGGTATAGTCGGTAGTATAGGTACAAGGACTGAGGTAATTGGATTTTAAGCTTGGAGAGCAGTCCGGAGTGCCATACCCGGTCAAATGCCTGTGCAATGTCCAGAAAGGCACCCGAACAGTATTCCTTGTTTTCTAGGGCTGAGGAAATATGATCAACAACTCGGAGTCCTTGTTGAACAGTAGAATGTTGAGAGCGAAAACAAAACTGATGGGAAGGGATATTTTGGGATTCTATAATGGGTAGGATTCGTTTCAAAAGGATCTTTTCAAAAATTTTTGAAAGGATTGGGAGTAGGCTGATTGGTCTATAGGATGTTGAGCTATTGAGAGGTTTTCCTGGTTTTGGGAAAAGGATAATAGTGGAGTGTTTCCATAACAGAGGGAAGTGGGTGGTGCGTAGGATACAATTGTAGATATATGTAAGGAATATGACTGCTTTGGATGGAAGTTGTCGAAGGATTTGAGGTGTAAGGAGATCATGTCCAGGAGCTTTACGGAGGATTAGTTTTTTTAATTGAAATTTTACTTCGGAAGGATGAATAGCTTTTGGGGGCAAGGAAAGTGGGATTGGTGATGTAAGGAGTTCTTCTACTGTTACGGTGTGGGCAGGATGGGATTCCGGATGTGAAATAAATGTATTGGATAGGTGAATGGCGAACTCCTCAGCTTTATCTTCGTCAGATGCTGCCCAGGAGCCATCACCTCGTCGGAGACGATGGGAAATGCGGTGAGGATTTAGGATTTTTGTTGTGGTTTTCCAAAGGGAATTGTCGCGAGAAGAGAGGGAGGATAGGTAGGAGTTGAAGGATTGTGATCTGAAGGTGGCTAATTCCAGTTTTAATTGTTTGCAGTAGTAATTATAGGAGCAGCGGTCGGTAGGATGTCGGGTACGTTGCCATAATAATCTGGCACGGCGTTTGGTGCGGATTAGGTTAAGGAGGTGTTGGGGTAGAATGGTCTTTATAGGAATTCTGGAGGAGTCTTTTGGAAAGGAGGCAGTCCATGCGGCTTGTTCGATTGTGGTAGTAAAGGAATTTACGGCACTATCAAGGTCATCGGGAGTTTTGAGGGATATGTTGAGATCAATATTATCGGAGATTAATTTGGCGGAAAAGGTCCCAGTTTACTGACCTCTTCTGATTGACCAAAGATGGCTTCATTATTTTCCAATTTCTGATGCATAGCATTAATTTGGTTATAATGCGATTCGGCAATGATAGTTTATCCAGGATTTAAGAAGCTGTAGTGTATCAAACCAAATGAAGTCCAAACAGTAACGATCTCCTTTTTTTTGATCATTTGGGGGCTTTGGAAAATGTTCTGCCGCTGCTTCTTTATCCAGAACGTCTACTGTTATCGTAAAGTATCCACTTTTCATCACAAGTAACAATTTTGGAAAGAAAAGGCCCATTTTTGCTTCGGCAAAGTGTAGCACAAACTTCATAACGCTGGTTTTTTTGTTCGTTTAATGTGTGTGGAACCCAACTTTCAAGCTTTTTTATCTTTCCAATCGCCTTAAGGTGGTCATCGACGGTCGGTTTGCTAAGATTAAGTTTCCCTACAAGTTCTCGAACAGTTGTTCTGGGATTTTCTTCCACCAAAGCCCGCAGAACATCGCCATCAATAGAGGAAGTCCTTCCACAACTTTCTTTGTCTTCAAGGCTGAAGTCTCCCTCCCGAAATGTTGTGAACCACCGTTGAACAGTGTACTCATTAATACTGTTCTGGCCCCAGACTTGATTGTTGTTTCTGGCGGTCTGGACCTCATTCCGGCCGAGTTCAAACTCGTAAAACAAAATTATGCGAAAATCACGCGTTGACATCATAGTAAATACTGAACTATTTCTAAGCAGCAAAATGCTACGGAGGTAAACAAAGATTATCCTTGGAAGAGGATTAATAAGTGTTGACATTCATACAAATAAATAATCCAGTAAACATTAAGAGTTTGTTATATAGAGAGGTATTTTAAAGAAAACTCAAAATCCTGTATTACTTTCCACACAACCCAATACATCAATTTACGTAACGTAAAGAAAACAAGATTAATATTTTTAGACTTACTACAAAATACCGAGATATTCTAACAATCAAACATACCAAACTTCATCCTGTTTTTTATATTACATATTTTTATCTATTTATATGTTTTATTTTTAATAAGTTTGTGTTACTTAAAATGTTTTAAATTGCCGTTTTTTAACTTTTACTAATTTTTTAGAAGTTTATTAACCCTATTCAAATTAACTGGGTAATTAGTACCTACTTGCTGTATATAAAAACTGGTTCTAAAAACCAGACTTATCGTCAATTTCATTATAAAGGTTTTCATATTCTGTTAATAAAAACCTTAAGATGCCAATTATCGTTTTAAGAAAAGAATCATGGCATATGAAAAATGTGTATATGGGAAATTTAGAAGAGAATAAACAGAGGGATCATCTTAACTTTCAGATTGGCAACACTGACTCCAGATCTTGACGGGAAAATCAATTCCTCCAAGCAGTTAGATTTGAATGTAGAATGTCTTTGAGAATGTCTATATGACTTTGACGTGATTTATTAATATTTTATGTCACTTAATTTTATTATTGCAACTTTTATGAAATTTTTAAGAAATTTTTGTTGATTTAATAAAGTGATAGTTATTTTAAATAGAGTTTTCCTAAAAGAAAATTCCAAAGATGGGTGATATATCGAAGATTGATATTAATAAGCCTAGGTGGGACCAGAGCACATACATAGGGAGAGCAAAGTATTATTTTACTGTCACAAACCCTTTAAATTTGTTCGCAACCAGTAAGACCCTGGAAAATGCAAGAACTATTGTTGAAAAACACAGGTATATATTGTTTTGTTTTTTTATATTTAATCTAAAACTTCTACTTTCTATTATATTTAATTAGGATAGGAAGAATTTTATTTAAAATTTTATTTCTTTTAGTTATTTAATGTCAATGTATATGCATATTCAAAATTGTGAATATCATTTAGGTCCCAGAATGATAGATGACCTGTGATCGACCCTACTGATATTTAATCTCTTATCAATTTCCAAAACTAAAAATCTTTTTTTTTTAACTCCATTAGCTCCTTTATTAATAAGGAATATTGAACTTCCAGAAATTTTGAGTTATTGTAATAATAGTATAATTTAAAATTATGTAGTTCACTATAAATGGTATTATCATTGTATTATTATTCTATGTTTTATTCTTTAAGTCAAGTAACAGATCCATCTAATTGGAGATGAATAAATATTTTAATCAGTATTTTTTTTTTTGCTGTATATTGTTTACTTTTTTTAAGTTTGTTTTAAATAATGTTATAAGAATAAAGAAAAGATATTTCGATCTATATTTTATTTGCTAAATTTATGTGAAAACCTCATTTTTTTTTTTTAATTCGGTCATAATTTTTGGAACATTTTAGGATTCACATATAAAATTTATATAATTCTGCTATGAATAAAATTATTTCTGGTAAGAATAAATCATAAGAAGTTTTGACACACACCTTGTTAATGCTATCTTCACCGAAAGTACAATATTATGTTCTAAAAATAGTTTAAATAATTAAATTCTATGTCAGCACATTCTTCACAAACAACCAATAAATTAGCAGTATAAGTTTTAATAAGTTCAACTAAAATATGAAAAATAGGCTGGACAACTGTAAAAATTAGTTCATATTAAAAAATCTATTATATTTTGTAACGTTAATTTAATCATAGAATTATGGCAATATCAAGTGTAGTGTCATAACTGTAAATTATTTAATGCAGAGAAGATGGCCAGAGGCACAATCAAAAATGAAATGAAACGGTGATGTACAGAAATGTCTTAATGTATACCAATATTTTGCCATAAGTTGTCAATCTTCAGTTATTTTGCATTAGAAGGTCCCCAATAAATGTCCTCTATTCCTGCCTCCTGCAAATTTATCTTCATGGTTTGCTATCTTAAACTCTCATCTTCTCCAAGTCGAAAAATAGGGTATATTGATACTAGTACCTTCTGTTAATAATTTATTTCTAACTTTAAATTTCTTTTTGTTTTGTATGTTTACTAAATTACAGTCTCTTTGTTTGTTTCAAATGGTATTAAACTTTAATTATTCAAAATAAATCATGTTCTCTTCAATAAAAAGTAAATGTCATTATAGTACGCAACTAAGCTGTTTATAAGAATGTTATAAATGAGAGATGGTCTGTGATCGACCCTACTAATAGTTTTAAATATAATAAAATATAAATATAACACAAAAGGTAACATTTTATTACAATTTAAAACAATTGAATAAATTAGGATTTTATTCTATGCCAGTATTGGTTTCTTTTTATGAATGAGGCCTCCTGCGTTCTGTTATATATTTTAATATATCTTTTAATTTTTAAGGAAAAAAATCCGCTGTTCCATATCACTATTTCAGATTAAAATTTAAACAGTTTAGAATAGAAATCCAATTTGATTTTTTTTTAAAGTTCGTGTGGTTGTTAATCATGTTTTATTTTATAATTGAGTTTCAAAGTAGTAGTTAATAAATAAATCATAATGAAATTAAAATATAACATTTCAGTAATAATTAAAAAATCATGTATATATATTGAAGAGAAGATTGGTTGGGATGGTCAATTAAAAAAACAGTAAAAATAAATAAGTATATTTAAAAAAAAAAAAAATTATTTTTACATTTTTTTTACTGATCACCCCAACCAGATTGGTTTTTTCTTCAATTATTCACTGCAGTCAACCATCAATCCACAATTTATATATATATTAATTTTTTACTGACCAATATATGTATCTTCAATATTATATATATATATATATATATATAGTGAATAATTGAAGAGAAAACCAATCTGGTTGGGGTGGTCAGTAAAAAAAAATTAAAAATATATATAAATAATTGTGGATTGACTGTTGACTTTAGTGACTAATTGAAGAAAAAACTTTGTTTTACGATTCATAGAAAATGACTTTTTTATTATTATTATTTTGGAAGGATGGAGAGAGAGAAGAGGTGGAATCCTAACTAAACAAATAAATGAATTTATCCATTGAAAGCAATATTCTCATTTGCTGTTAACTTGTTAAACATTAGTTTAGTATTACATTATAAAAAATATAAAAAATAAATTAAATAAAAATCAGTTTTGAATATATACATATTATACTAATAACTATACAATCAAAAATTTACTTTAATCGATTTTTAATAATTATCATGTTATGAAAATGGAATGCTTACTCCCTCTTTAGTTATCTTCCAACTTATCTTATCCATTTCTTTATCACAAGTTGATACATTTATAAGAATCTGTATATTGGCTATCAAAGATTAAATGATAAAAAGGATAATAGTAATCAATTTCAGTATTTATTAAATAATCACTGATACAACATGATAATAGTCATAACAGATTATTATTTGTTAAGAATACAATATTATCATTGTTTGAGTAATGATCTGCTTATGTGTAGTATTCTTTTAAATGTATATGCAAATTTATTACTCTTTCCTGCTATCATCATAATTTTCAAATGTTTGACTTTTTGACATTATTATTAATTCTTCATTACAATTTTGCAAATGATGATATGGGTGATACATTACAAGAAAAATATTTGTTTCCAATTTGAACTTCTAGCTAAAAGAAAAATGTTTAATAATTAGTATTCCATTTTAAAAGATACTCCAATTATTGCTTGGTCTTGATCTTTTTACTACTTACCTCTGATAATCATTCATTTGATTATTGCTTGATCCTCCTGCCATAATAAAAATGACTCAAATTTGTTATTGTATTCAGTACATCAGTTTCAGAAAAAAAAAAGTTCTGTAACAAATGTAATTTATTTATTTTCACTTTGTAATTTATCTGTCTGAATACCCCAACCAACTTCTCTTCAACAATAATAATAACTGTATAATTTTTGATAGTTTTTAATCGACATCAATAAAATAATATAAAACCAACTGCAAAAGGTGCTCACATTTTTTTTATTTATCCCCAAGTACACTTTTCTGGAATATATTGCTCCTCTATCTTAAAAAATATTGTAAAGGGTCAAGATGTCTATTTTATCTTATTTTATATATGTTTTAGAACCTCTTTAACACGATTATATGGTTTTCAAGGATGTACATGAAAGTGTTGACATGTATTGGAGAAAAAAATATGTGTATACGATAAAAGGGGGAACTAAAATATAATTTTATAATATAAGCAAACACTAATGGAATGACAGGCTTGGGAGTGATGGAGGCCATGATGGCTGAGCATTTTAAGGCATTATCCGCTTTAACATTTTGGATTCAAATCCAGTCTGGGCGATTGAAGTTTATTTTGTAGCAGATCCATGGGATAAATCTTGACTTTACCTTTCTGGTTAAAATAGGTTGTACTGAAAGAACAAACCCCTCCCTGCACGTTAAAAGTGATGAGGTAGGGAATATACGAGAAAGAAAAAGATTGTGAATGAAGTCTATATGAAGCAAGAAATTTGTTCTCTAGTAAACCAAAATTTATTTCTGGAAGCTAAAAACAAAAAACTGATTCCAATTTTGGCACTTCCAGCAGTCCTCTTTGAATCAAATTAGCTGTTGTTCAACTTGAAGGAATAATTGATAGTGATATTTTTATTATTACTATTATATTGTGATATTTACTTATAGCCTACATTTTGACAAACAATTGAATTTTATGGCCTTCTAGGTCTGCAATCACATGATTGCTGAATATGCTTCTTAAACATTCGTTTTGGAAGCTTGGAACTATTCTCTTGAAAATTTTGGAGCATTCGGTTTTTTTTTTACCACTTTTCTCTCATATTTTTTATAGATGACTAGCTTTACCCGGCCACGCGCTGCTGTGACTTATCCTCCAACTTTTTAAAAGGTTGGGAAACAAATTTGTCTGTAAAATGGCTTCAATTTAAACTAATTCTAATGATTTTGTTTCTCATGATTCAAATTGAACATTCATAATCATCAGAAACAGTCTGAGTTGAACTTATAAAACTAAATTAAAATTTTTTTTAAAAACCTATAATAGTATTGACCTATATAAGGAGAATCATTTAACTTATTTAAATGATAATTTCAATTACTGTAGCAATTATAAAATTTTTGATTAAAAAAAATGCTTTCCGCCCTTCAGTAGTGAGGAAGCAAAAGGAAACGGCCTTTTCTGAAGAGAAAGCAGTAAATGTTTAAAACTCTATAATTCTGCAATGAACCGTACGATTTTTTTTTCAGCAATTCAGCAATCTTTCATATAAATATAGGTATTATCAGTCAAAAATTGTGTACTTTTTTAGTTATCGTCAAATAAAATATTGAATTCATCGTAACATTTTTCAGCTTGTTTTCGGGAAAGTATATTATACACATAAATTAAAAGGGTTTCAAGGGGAAGAGTTTTGTTAAAAACGGTAAAGCCGTTTTGGCGCTATAGTTTACAGCGACACATTTTTTTGCAACTTAACAGAAAAACATTTACATTTTTATTTTTTTTTACATATATAAAATTATCATAGAACAGAAGTACTATGGCAGAAACCTTCCCAGGAGTGTACGAAACAACTTCCTAAAGTTTCATGGCGATTGAATGAATGGTTTAGTAATGCACAAAGGACAAACAGACGGACAGACAGACATACATTCATTTTTATATATATAGATTACAAGATTGTTTAGAATTATAAATAGTTCTATATGTATTTTTACTGTATACCTTCATTATATCAATTATATCATACTGACTTAGTGTTAATTTAGGAAAAAAGAAAAATTAGATATTACTGAAGATGAACTATGGAAGGCAAAACAACTATATGATTCAGCATTCCATCCTGTAACTGGTGAGAAACAAGCATTGGTGGGAAGAATGTCCTGTCAAGTTCCTGGAAATATGGCAATCAATGCTGGCATGATTACTTACCATCAGTATGTATAAAAATGATTTTGAATAATCTTAAAAGATTTTTTGGATCCTTTTTGCTTTGGTTCATCTATAACGAAAACTAGAGAAACAATATGGATCTCTGAGGGTTTATTTTTTCACTATATTTTTTTTTTTTTTTTTACGAATAATGTTGGTTTCAATTTGAATATCTCTTCAGTTAAAAACCAAATGCCAACAAATATATTTTTTTTAAATCAAGAACTGTAAATAATTTATCTGTGCACTAAGTGTTGAGAATTAGTGCTGCTAATAAAATGTACAATGAAAAGACAAATACCAACTTTCAAAATATATTTTTATTTAAACCCCCCTGAATTTTTTCACAATAATTGCTTACTAAGAAATTTAAATAAAGTTTTGCTATAAAATTTCTTAATTAATAAAATTAAATTTGGTTTCTTATAACTGTTATTTAATCACTTTCTAGATTCCTAACTTCTAAATGAATTGGTATCTAATTTCTAAACATAGCAGTCTTTTTGAAATATATTTTTTCATTTGAAAACCCCTGTGCAATTTGAGAACTTGAAAAATAAAAATTGATAACTCTGTAGGATATTTATATATTTATACTCCTGTGTATAAATGTTATATTTTGAATTATATGTTCATTATTTTTAGATCAACACCTGCAATTATATTCTGGCAGTGGATTAATCAGTCATTTAATGCAATTGTCAATTATACCAATCGCAGTGATGCAACAATGACTCTGACGTTAGTATATTTTTTTAATTATTGTTCTTTGTTTTACAACCACAGTTAAAGTTTTAAACTTGTTAATTTTATATTAGTGAAATAGGTGCGGCTTACATTTTTGCTACAAGTGGTGCTGTAGTTACTGCATTATATCTAAATAAAAGATTGAAGGTAGTATTTTTAACTTTAATAATTCTTAAGTAAAAATATTGAAATAATTAGTCAATTCTTACTAATGAAATATTATCCTTATTTACTCTATTTAATTGTTTATTAGTTTTATTTTTTATTTCATCAGTTATGTTTTTATAGAGAGCACACCCAATCATCAGGAGATATGTTCCTTTCTTTGCTGTTGCTGCTTCTAACTGTATCAACATCCCTATCATGAGGAATCAGTAAGTTTTATGTTAAGTTTTATGTTATTTGAATATGTAATCAAATTATGTAAATTCATGCTACTCATTTTATATAACTCACTCAACAAAAGTTTATCTTAAAAATTCACTAGCTTATTAATCATAGATTATATTTTTTAATTATGTATTGATAACTCTAATTGTGAATATTTTTGATTAATACAAATAAGATTTCCTGGTTAAATTATGATTGTTTTTCTGTTGGCATTACAGACCATGTAGATCTTTTGCCACCTTAACAAGCCTGCTCCATCTCTGCCTGTCTATTTCTTTCCATTTATCTGCAAGCTGCTCTGTTGCATCTTTGTTTATTCTATCTATTCATCTACTTTTTGGCCTTCCATGTGGTCTTTTGCCTTCTATTGAGGCATTCATTGTTTTGTAGAGGCTTCCAGATCGATTGCCACAAGCTACAAGCCCCACCCACCTTAACCTCCGTGCCTTTATATCATGGGATATTGATTGACCAGTTTCTGTAAGCAGTTCTTTATTGATCTTTCTTCTCCATGTGTTAGTACTCTGATCCCAGATTGCTCCAGTTATCGTGCAGAGGATTTTTCTCTCAAATCTTCCAACACTTTTTTCTAGGGTGCTGGTTAGTGTCCAGGTCTCACTGCCATATATTAGAACTAGCTTTATCATAGCATTTTACACCCTTAGTTTGAGATTTTTTAGGATTTCAATATCTTTGAGAGGGAGAAGAAAGCTCTTTTTCGCTAGTTATACGCTGATCTATTTCTGCCTGTTGGTCATTCATTGAGTTTATTGTATAAATAGTGTAAATAATAATAGCTTGTCTGAGTTGATCTGATTGTCAGAAACCCACACCTGAGATAAATAAATATATTAATACTCTTATAATTTTGTTTATTATTATAACAACCTCTTGTTTCTTTTGGAAGTATCCTAACGGATAAAGTGATCTTCCGAGGTTATATTATTATTATTTGTAAAATATAAGAGGGATGTTACAATATCGATGCTTAATTTAAAGAACATCACATCTTAACATCAGTTTGTAGAATACCTATATTATTTTTTCTGTTTTAAGAGATGTCTCTTGCATTATGCATAGATATGTGTATACATTTTTTAAAATGTTTTCAAAATCATAGTTTTGATTATTTTGAACTTTTTGGTAACACAGCTTAGCTGACAATGTACTTTTTATCATAAATTATCTAAAGTGCTGAAGGTTTGGTAAGTCTTGTCAATGTTCATACCTAATTAATATCGTAATAATGAAGATAATACATTTTGTTTACTTATTGATTTTTACAGAGAACTAATGGAAGGAATAAGAATATTTAATGACAAGGAAAAAGAAATTGGAAACTCTAAAATAGCTGCTAGATCGGCGACTGCTCAAGTTGTTTTTAGTAGAATTGTTATGGCCATGCCATCTTTGTGTAAGATTAATTTTTTATTTTTTTAAGATTCTTTTATATTCGAATCAAACACCTTTGTTTCTTTATTGAAAAACAAAACTGTTCAATATCATTATTGCTAATCATGTTGGAGAAATAATTGATAGTAGATGATAGGATTGAAAAGTTAGTTGGGGGTTGTAGTCACAGTGAGAAACAAATAAAATAAAATAAAAATATTTTATTACGGTTCAGAATAGACAAGATAATAACCTTGCAAAACTATTAACACAAAGATAAAACCAAATATGTCAACTGCTAATAAATTAATTCTGAGAATTTATTAATTATTTTATTCACTTCTTAGAATTTATTTATTATCAGATGACATTTTTATTTTCATATTTTTTATAATAGATTGTTAATCATTTTTGTTTAGTTGTTATCTTATATTTTTTCAATTCTGATGAAAGTATGAAAATTAGACCAAAAGGTTGATACAAAATAAAATAATTTGTTTATATTTTTATTTGGCTTTCTCATTGTGACTGCTACACTCAATTAATTTCCCAAACATATTATTAATAATATAATAGAGGAATTCAACTAATAGAGGTATCTCTAATCAGAGAATAAATTATTATTTTCAGAATAAATATAACATAATAAACATTAAAAAATAAAAAGTTACCTACATAAAAAAAAGTTGTCTGATAAACAATTATAATTTTATTTACATAAAAAATAAATCATTCTATTTTTTTTTTTTTTTTACAACCAAAAATATTTTCACATTAAGAAAACAGAACAGAGAAATAAAAATTTAATTACTCTGAGAAAAACAACTAGACTATATTTTAAAAAAACAGTGCGCTCATTACACAACTTTCACTTACTGAAGTGAGTAAAAATTATAGACAGTATAACATATTTTTTAAAACAATTACTATCCATGTTTTGTTTTTTTACAGCAATCTAATGTTTTTTATTTACCAAGAGTTCCACTGATAAAGAAGGTTATAGTTATTTATATTTCATTTTGGGTATTTTTATTTAAGCACTGATGTATATACAAATTTTTATTTTTATATTGCTGTAATTTATACAAGTAAATATTATATAATACCAACACAAACAATTATGAAAACTGCATATGTATATGTATATGATATTATCAGAACCCATGTTATATTTAGCATGTGTCAGATTTTGAAAATTATCCTAACCTTTTGGTCAAGTTCATGAGTATACTCAGGTTTCTCAGGTCCTCTATTATGATCCTTTATTTCTCGTTTTGTTAATGATAAAATACTTTCATAGTTTACCATTTTTTATTCCAGGTTATAATGTCAAGTAGTTAATTATTTTAAATTAATAAAATTGAGAGAATTCACCATTGAAGCCCTTTCAGGCTGCATTTATGAGGATAAAACCTACTATAAATTAAAAATCAATTAATAATATATTATAAAAAGTTTGACTTTTCGTTTTTGAGCAAGAATGTTCAGACAACATTTTACGAGACTTAGTTATTTGGACTCAGGGGATCTCAAAACCTGTATTTCTGTTGAAAACTCGGATTCAAACATTTTCACGATCGCAATACTTTCCCTTACTATATATTTCATATATAAGTAAGTGAAAGTAAAAAAAGAAAGACAAAAATAATTGAGAAATAAAAATTCATTTTTTGACCAATTATTAACAAACAATATGCGTTTCTGTGTAAACAAACAATGTAAAATAATAATCAAATAAAAAGTTATAAAATTAAAAACATTATTTCATATATATATATATATATATATATATATATATATATATATATATATATATATATATATATATATATATTTGTTTTACTTTATTTTATTTTGTTTAAACAAAATGTCGAATTTTATATCAACTATAATATTAATTAAATTCTATTCCAAGTAATTGACTACTTTATTAGTTAATATAAATGATTCTGCCAAGTTTAATTATTTATATTTTGCATTATTAATGTTTTTGTTTTCAGTAATGACACCTATTGTTCTTGAAGAAATGACAAAGAGATGTTTGATGACCAAGCCTTGGGTGGAACCAGTGGTTGCAACTGGGCTTTGCGGATTGATTCTTACTTTTGCAACTCCTCTTGCTTGTGCTTTATTCATTCAGAGAGTTCCAGTCAAAGCGAGTCATCTTGAGTCACATATCCAGGTAATAATTGATTATTTGATGTCAATGAAAGATCTTAATGCTTCTTTATCGCCTCTTATGATCTATGATGATATATTATTCTATACCACTATGCTTTTTTATCTTTATCAGTCTTTTCTTCATCACCGTTAATTGAATTTTCATTCAAATCGTTCAAAATTTGGGAGTACTCTTTCATTTACAATATCATTGCACGCTTAAACAGTTGTTCATTTTTAGAATAATTTACAGTCTCAGTCCTTCTAGGCACTTCACTGATATTTAGATAGAATAGATAGATAGATAGAAAAATAATTTTATTCTGGGACACAGTCCCTTGAGAATAACAAAATAGAACAAAATTAAAAGATCACATCTGGCCAAAATAAAATCAATCGAAAAAAAGAAATAATGTAAAAAAAATATAAGGTAAACATTCTATATAAAAAAAAAACGAAACTATATACAAAACAATTAATACTATAACAAGGCACTTAAAGCTATTTGCACTAGTATACACTTTTAAGAAAATAATAAAGAATTAAAAAATAAAAATGTATCAATGAATCAATCAATGAATTTTTATGTATCAAATTCTCTATTAAAATCAGCTCGAATGGTTAGCAACTATCTGACTGTTCTTGGGATAGGAATTGGAATAGGAGGATTTTGAATTTGGATATGGATGGGGAATGTCGAATTTTGATAGGGAGGGAATTCCAGAAATTGACAGAGCGAACAACAAAGGAATTTTGGAATGAGGCAGATCTGTGAGAAGGCATGTAAAGATTAGAAGGTCGAGATCTTGTGGACAGGGAATGGACTGAGGATTTGAACTGGAGAAGATTGTAGGCATAAGAAGGACGATGACTGTTGATTTAATTCATATAGTTTCAATATTTATGTATATCTCAGCAATATTTTGAGTATCTGTTTCAGTTTCTATCCCAGCATGCAATGTTTTAATATTTCTTTCAGATCAGCAATCATATTTTCGTCTAAATTGTGTAATTCAATGTCATATTTTTTAATATTAATATTTGTCTCTATATTCACCACAAGCTTCAATTTGTCATGAGATTTTAATATATTAAGTTAATTAAAATTTTATTTTATAACTTGTCTTATTTCGTTTATGTATTATTTTATTTAATATGGATGATAAATATTCAGGACGCAGTCTTTTTAAAAAAAAAAAAAAAATTAATGTTTTATTTGATCCATTAGGCAAGTACTTCAAGTAGAGTACTTAAACACCCTCAGTGCTCAAATCACGCCCTGAAGATGACCTATATGTTTGGGTTGAAACGTTGGTACATATAAAAAATTTAAAAAAAATTTAAAAAAAAAAGGACTGTGTTCTGAATATTTATCATCCATATGTAGAACAGTCGACTAGCTTCCATCAATTTATTTAATACAATGTAACATCACTTGAATTAAATCAAAACTGTCTGTATTAATCCTTGATTCATTAAAATTTGGATTGTTAAGGTATATTAAAATTGATTTTTTAATATCAATTTTTCTTTCATCATTTTACGAAAATAAATTAAAACTAGTTCTTGATAATCAAAATAAACATTTTAGTTTGTTCCTGTTCGGGCGCCTAATATTATGATATTTAGGCAATTTTAATTGAGAGCAACAATTTATTGATTATGGTTATCAATAAATTATAATTTCTTAAATATTTATGAAAATTAGAACATTTAAGTAAGATTTGTTTATTTAGTCAAATTCTCTGGAAACAATGATAAAGAGCCAAAATGTATTTAAAAGAATAAACTCAGAGACCTATAAACCAATTGCTGAGTTAGTGGAAATCTTCATCACCTAAAACTTTTTACAAATGGCTCCCTAAAATTTCATTAACTATACAAACAGCCTGTATGCCTATCACTCTATTCACTCACTTGATTGACAACTTCATTTGGAGTAACGCTATGTGTCAATCGTAGTTCTTGTTTTGTGATAAAGGAATTTCAACTTTTTTTTAATTTTAATTTTTTTTTCACAGGAAAAGGTTGGGAAGGATGCAATTGTCTACTACAATAAAGGCCTTTAAACAGTATTGTTGAAAGACAAGTTCTTTGGAGCTATTTTAATTTCAGCATTAATATTTTTACACCATGGTAGAAATGAAGAAGGCATTAGAAAGACAGCTTATTCAGTTATCAATATTTGAATTATCTCATGGTTTCAAACAATGATATATTTGGAAGTATATCATTCTAAATACATAATTTTATATGAAACTCAATCAATGTGTGAAACAATATTATTTATATACATATATATATATTATATATATATATATATATATATATATATATATATATATATATATATATATATATATATATATATATATATATATATATATATATATATATATAATCTATGTATTTAATTTTATTTTTAATTATTTATTGAAATTATATAATAATTATTTTATATCAAATTATTTTTGAAATGAGATTAAAGTTTTAAACTGTTCATAATTGATGAATAATCTTTTCCGAAAGAAAATAAAAGCTGATTTTATTTTCTAATGGAGTTAAGGCCTTTTCCATTTATGACCACAAATGATGTTTATCAAGTGTCGTAGCCTTCTGATTAAAGAAGTTGAACAGAATCTTAAATCAGCAACTGTAGCTCTTATCAATGAAAAACTGATATAGCAGTATGAATTGTATTAGGCAATTAGTGAAAATCTCAACCTTCCTAACTACTAATAAATGCAACCTAGCAAGTTCAATAAAAATGCATCCATAAATTTCCTTATGCAAAGGCTTTAGTATAACATTTGTCCCTTCTTATCCTTTGGCTTTATTAATGGAAAAATTTTCCAACACCTTTTTAAGTGTAGATTAGCCTCTACTTGGTTACATGGTTCATCCTCCAATTAGCTACAGTAATTATTCATTCAATTCCTCCTCAACATTGTTCAGCCTTGAAATTGGTAGCCTAAATAAGCCTAAGCAATAGCATAATTAACTTCACTTTGCAGAAGTTTGTTTTCTAACTTTCTAAACTTCCATAAAACTTTCTTATCATCTTAAGAGAATATTTTTAGCCATTGTCACAAAGTGCAAATAATTAAATTTATTAAGAATTATTAATAAAATTTATATTACTCTTCAAACCATACAAAAGATATGAAACAAATGAAATAAAACATTGTTTTTATTATGAGAAGATAGTCGGGCTGGGGGAAGAGGGAGGAGAGGGGGGCGGTAAAATAAATACTATATATTAAAACAGTATTTTTACACTGATGTTTTGACTCACTTTGGAGGTCTTCATAAGGGCGTGGTATTGGGCTTTGCAGGAAGCAGTTGGTAGACATTGTTTTTATTTATTTGGTATACAAGCTATTTGAAAAAAACTGAAGAAAACCACCACTTTTGCAATTCATTAATTAATACATCTTCACTTGTATTTTTTTTACATCATCAATAAATTAATGTTTTTATCTGAAAAGTTTTTTAATTAATTTAATTCATGGGATTATAAGGAGTACCAACAATTGAATGACAGACAGCAAAGTCTTTTTTTTTTTTCTTTCTTCACTGCGTTCTTAAACTCAATGAAAATTCCTATTCAAATATTCTTTTATTTATTTACTTTTTTACTAGAATATGTCTCATTCTAAAACATTTTATTTTGATATTCAATTGTATTGTAACTTAATTTTCAAAAATATATACTTCTTTTTTTTCTCCACTTCGACTACGGTTGCTTGGTGTATGGAGTGCTGTCTGAAAGACTGGAGGTGAAATTGAAGATACTTATGAACTGTTTTATAAGATCCATCTTTGGAATTCCCAGGCATTCTCATGTTTCCTATTGGTATACCGAGTTCAAGTGGCTCTATCCTATTTCCCGACGACAATTCCTTCTTGGTGTTTTTCTTTTCCAGGTCCTAAGAACCAAAAATCCTCCCTATATCATGGAACTCCTCACTTTACGTTACTCTATCCACTCTCTTAATACCAGATCTCAATCTATTGATTTATGTATGGATATATAATACATAGATTTATATATAGATCTTCTCATAAAACTAAATCCTTCGCCATCCGTGCACCCTCCTTCCGGAATTCTTTCTATGCTTATTTTGTGGTGAAATTTCTCATTGCTTTCAACCATTCACAATAAGAATTGTTATGTTAAAATTAATTTTATTTTTAAAGATTATGAACTGTTTAATTGTGAAAATGGTAGAAAGTTACCGATTTAACATGGAATATTATTACCTCTTAATCATTATCAAAACTTATAAATTCAAATTTATGAAGTTTCGTTTCATGTATAAACCCATAACTATGGGGGGAGGGAAAAAATGTGGTAAGACAATAATAAGTTTGCATGCTATTATATAAATTGATATGTCAATGTGATTGTTAATGAAAATGTAAACCAAATAAAAACTTTACGTAACACTTTTTATTTGAATAACTCCTTAAACTACCACCAAACATATTACAAGCCTGTCAGTGGTTGTTGCTATGCAAAGCCATCATCTTCATTATCATGGTCACTATGATGATGGGTAAAAGTAAAAATATCGACAAGGATTATCTTGCAGTTTATAATGTTATGTTGCAGGCAGAAAACACTTTTCTGCAAGCTCATGGGTGATGGATAGCCTAGAGATCCACTCCAGGATAGGACCTATCCCAGTGGAAGGATGCCATGAGACTTTATGGTGGGTTTTTTTTTGCCCTTGCTCTTTATAGGCTATACTAGGTTTTTCCTGGGCCAGAGGATTAATACCAGAGTTCATTAAGTCCAAAAAGTAAGGAATCCTGAAATCAGACTAATGTTTATTAACCACATGGATGGGACACTGAGAAGCACTGATAGCCTTAAGATATAAATCAGATGTTGGGGACATGCAAAGAAACAATTGGTGGCTGCAAATGAAATACTTAGTCTACAGGATATTCAAAAGAGATGAACCTTGGTTCGATAGAGAATCTCAATATGTAACGGTGTCAAAAAGCATGGCACAACACTTCATGTTTCAGTGAAATACTGCCACTCAATGGAGGAGTGAAGGAGCAAGAGTTCTGAAAAACACCTCAATTCAAGAAGCTGTCTATCATCTGCTGCCAATCTATCCAGCCATTTTGCATTTGTTCTTCTAACTCTGCAGATCCAATATAGAACCTTTGTCAAAAGTTTTTTTGGTATCTCAGTGTTATTCATTCTTGTCACGAGACTGTTACAACAAAGCCCCTTAAGCTTTTTAACAAACTCTATCACATCCATGCTGCTGTACTGTTCTTCCTCAAGTATAGGTCCATAAATCCTCCTCAATATTTTCCATTCCAATATATGGAACCAATCCTTATTTGCTTTCATTGTGGACCAATTTTCTGCTCCATATGTTAGGACAGGCCTGATGAGGGTCTTGTGGAGCCTTAATATGGTTTGATTGGAAATAAACCAGCTTCTTATGTGCTAGAAGAGAGTGAAATAATGTCTGTTTTCTAAGGCTCTTATTCTACATATATATCTCTTGATGGAGAAAGTTAATTGAATTAACTTCAGATTCCAGGTCGACAAAACTCTCTACTTACTGGAATTTGTATCCTTCTACTTCAAAGTCTTTCACCAGCCCCTGGCCCTACATGTATTTAGTTTTAGCGCCATTTACAACAGGATCAAATCTTCTGGCTGCCTTTACAGAATAGAACATTAAGAAACAATAATGCCGATGCCATCAATGTATGCCAACTGTTTAACTTGTAAATTAAAGATGGTCTCATCATCCTGGATTTGGGATCCCCTTATTATCATTTCTTCTGTTAAGTTAAATAAGAGAGAATCCAATGAATCCCCATGTCTTAAGCCAGTATCCTACTCATATTCCTCAGAAAGATCTTTGCATATTTTTACATTTACAGTGTATTTCTTGCTAGTCATTTTTACCAGCTGGATCAACTTCCCAGTTATACCCAGGTCCTACAAAGTGTGGTAGAGTTCCTCCTTGTTTACGCTATCATTAGCTGCTTTGGAGTCAACAAAAAGATAATGCATTGCCATTTGGTAATTGAGGCTCTGCTCCATCATATCATTATATGATTATATTACAATATTATTCTCAAAGGAAAAATTTGGCCTATGGTGGATCAAGCTCTTCTAAAAACCAGTCTAGTAAAGCCTAGTAAGTAGTCTCACTGCATATGGTGTAATATTCTTTAAATTATATTATAATATTGACAAGGCAATTTAGAAGATACCAAATTGAAAATGGTCATGAATGACAACAATGTATCACTATTAATTAAGAGGAGATCACAAAGGCTCACCAGATGAAAATAGAATAAGGCGATTTATAAATAACATCAAGCAACAAGCATTAACACCATGTAAATAAGAAATTGTATTAATCCTTGGTTTAATTGAATTTTAATCTAGAATGTGACGACCCACTAAATGTATTCAATTAAAATAAGTATTATTTGTTGTCAAAACTTCTTTATTGCTTTATTTATAATTTAATATAAAAAATACATATTTTAATAAATTATCCATACATAATCTATTCACATAATAAATAATTAATTTTATTAAAACATTTAAGTTAAATTATCTTAATATTAATGAGTTTTTATAACAAAAAATAATCACAATAAAAGACCAATATATCCACAACAGAGTATAAGCGTTTTAAATCCTAAAAATGTTCATTTTTATGGATTATTCGGTTATGATAGAGCGAATAGCTTTTTCTTGATTACTTCTAATGTTGACAAATCTACATTGAGAGAAATTGTCTTCCCCATCAGATCAGGATCTGCTGTTTTCATGACAATTTCACACATCGGGACAAAATCTGTCTCTTGGGCAGCCTATAACATTTGATAGAAATCATAAATTTCATATGAAGAAGACAAATGCAAACACTACACTATTTCTTTTTAGTAAATATAACTAAAGGATAAAGTGGATAAAGGTGATAAGTAACATTTTTTGAGTGCTGAAAGAACTGAATTTAAACCACCTTTATTCACAATAAGGCAGATGTATAACACTAATTGGCACCTGAAACAACACTGTTATGAAACATGTATTGAATTAATGTGAATAGAAGAAAGAAATATTTTAAAAAATATCACTTTATGTCTTTATCCTAAACAACTTAATCTTTCCTGTAATGCCAGTAATAACCTTTATCCACTTGACTCTTCAATTGTTTAGTAGGAGCAAGCATATTTTTTTGACCTGACCTTGTAGCAAACTTGGACAATATTTTAAAATACGAAATAAAATACATTGTAACAGTATTTTCTTTCTAAAATACAAAAAAATATTTGTATTTTAGTTGAATGGATTGTGTAGGAAAAAATCTTGTTTACTTTGTTTTTACCTTACTTGTTTACTTTGTTTGTTTTAGTTTAAAAAACTGAATAGGTGTGATTTCCCTACACAAAGTTGGAAAATGTAGATCAGAGATTTTCAACACTTTGAAACCTTTGGGTATCAGCCATATGTTCGTGTACCGCCCTATAAATAGACATAATGAGACCCTATCTGAATGTGACAGATCTTGAGCGGGACTTCACTGTGAGAATGGCAAATGCAGTGAAAGCAGTGGCTGCTTGAATCAGAAGAAATCGCATTCGAAAACAACAAATCAGGTATCGGGAAATGGGAATCTCTGTCAGATCAATGTCTCGCATAGTAAAAAGTGATCTTAGAAAGGATGTATTTCGAAGAATTACAGGACAAAGACTAACCACTTCTCTAAAAAAATTAAAGTGGATATAGGCAAATTGCTCCTTGGCCGTTACAATAATGGTCTTCATCGAAAGATTTTGTTTAGCGATGAGGAAATTTTTACAATTGAAGAAAAACTTAATCGTCAAAATGATCATGTGTACGCACACAGCTCTAAAGAAGCGCAGGAAGTCATTGGAAGAGGTCATCATTCTTCTTTAGTGATGGTTTGATTTGATGGCACCAAAAAGCTCCATTTTTGTGAAAAAGGAGTTAAAACAGCTGCTAAAAACTATCGGGACAATATTTTGGAAACTATTGTCAAGATACTCTGTTTGCTGAAAGTCATTGGGTTTTCCAGCAGGATTTCGCTACAGCTGACAAGGCCAGGTCAACTCAGCAGTGGCTGCAAAAGAACATTCCAGAGGTCATCTCTGCCTCAGATTAGCTCTCAGGAAACCCTGATCTCAAACCACTAGATTATCTGTTTTGGCTCCGAACTGGAGAGGATGGCATGCCACAGAACACACATTAACATGGAAAGCCTCAAACAATCTCTGGTCCGAGTTGTTGAACGCTTTTCCCAAGAAGTGCTGCGTGCTACCAATGATGACTGGCCATGGAGATTAAATGCATGTGTCAAGGCTAAAGGGAGACATTTTGAGTAATTTATTTTATGTTTTACTATCTATAGACATACATTTTATTTTCTAATAAAGTTTTTGAAAAAATTAATTTTTCGGTTGAAATCTATATACATTTCCTTGTAACAATATTTATTACAGGACTAGGTAGATACTACACAACTAACCTGAGCAATCTTACATAGTCTTTACCAGTTAAAATATATTATGGAACCGAATGAGTTAAAATATGTAGTTAGTACTGCAAGTGCCTAGTTTACAGATGCAGGGAAATTAATAGCAATAAAGAGAACAACAAGAACATACAAAGATATTGATGTTGTAATAATTTAATTTAAACATTTAACTTACCTTAACCATTTCTGGTGAAGCAAATAATGCAAGATCAGTCTTAATATGAGCTCCTTTTCTTTGTCTTATTATTTCATTAGTTACTTCCATCTATCAAAAAAAAAAAATTGATAAAAAATCATAAATTATCTCAATGGTTATTTTATCTCATAATCTAAATAATTTAACTTTTGAAATCCAACACAATTTTCCAAAACTTCATACATATTAAAATATTACGTAGCAGCATTCATTGAAGATACTGTCACCACCACATTAAATCAATGAATATAAAAACAGCTACTTTTCATACCAAAAAAAAATCAGAGTTTAGTGTTCAGAAGTAAAAGTAATACTAACTATTACCTTGACCTTCCCCATTGCGAATATTTTTTTTTTATTCCTTGAAACTCCTTTCACAGAACTATCCTATACTAGAAATAGTATAGTGCTGTTTTTAAGGGTTTGGTATTAATGTAAAACACTACATTTTTCTTCATGGCAAATGAAACAAAATGGTTATGGTATTAGTCCATGTTACAGACCCCTTTTTATCGAATTATTAATATCCGCCTGAAATTTCTTTTATAGTTTCATCTCATTGTAACCTACAGCAATTTTATTTATGAAAACTTGAAATTGGGATGTTTTCAATTTAGAGGGGAACAAACTTTGTCTATTTAATTGGGTACAAAAAACTCGTAAATACCCATTTCCTTTCTGCTTGGATCGTAAGATAATTTGATCACAAAATCGATAAAAAAGGTGGCCTACAAAAATATTGGGCTGTTTGTCCCATTATTTAACTTTGTTAGTTTGACAATTTGGGGTTGTAGGTCACGCCAAACGGTTCAATATTTTTGAGGGCCACCTTTTTCCTCAATTTTATGATCAAATCATCGTACGATTCAGATAGAAAGCAAATGGGTATTTACTTGTTTGTAGTACCTAATTAAATAGAGAAAGTTTGCCCTCGTATGGATTGAAAACGCCCCTATTCCCAGAATTTTCGTAAATAAAATATTTGTAGGTTACGATGAGATGATGTTATTTACGATGTTTCAGGCGGATGTTAATAATTTGATAAAAAGGGGTCTGTATCACGGACTATATGGTAATGTAGAATTTCAAGGATCCTCCTGGGATGACCGGACTCGGGGGGCCAAATTTAAAAGAAAGCATCGCCCTAGCAGTCTCAAAGAAAAGTAATGGACATTATATATTACCTCTAATCTGATGGCATTTTGAGATAAAAGTGTGATTGGTAATGTTGAATCCAAAGGATTATCCAGTAGTGACCTGTGACTTTGACTTGTCAAAATATGAAAGAAATCGGCAGAGTAATCTCAGATAAAAGTCATGGACGGACGGATATTTATTATTTGGTTTGGATTCTAGTATTCGAGGGGAAGAGGTTTATTATTTTTTCTTGGTCGATTACTAAAGTTTATTATTGAAAATGATAAACAAAATTCAATGCATTAATGATATAATTTGGTACTTGTGAGTTAGTGAGTCGCCATGAACTGATATCCATCATTGTTTATAATCTGAACATTGATAATTTTGATACTTAAGTTCTTATTTATACCTATGGAAATTAAAATAGAGAAAAAGAAATGCAATAATAACAAAACAGTTTTATTTTACAACATTTTATTTATTTTGTGAGACAAAATAGCTTAATGCTATTTAAAATAGCGAGGAACGGGTCCTCTTCTCTGTGGACCCGCAGTCACAAAAATTCTATCTTTTATTTTTACAATGAAACAATCGTCTATTTTAGGACAAACTCTGCCAAACATCCATTGTTCAAGAAGCACTCTCCCTACATGATTTTCTCTTTTTAAAAAAATTACTTTCGTCTATTTCAACCACTTTTTTAGGCCCTCTATTTTTAGTTTAAAAAAAAAAGTTGACAAGTATAACATTTTATGGGCACAAACTTCTCTCTGCTCTACTCGCAGAGAGAGTTTTTTCGCACAAACTGCAAAAAAATCTGCTCCACTCGACCACACTTTAGTTGCATAATTTCAGCTGTTCATAATTTTTGTTAAATTATGAGACTAGCCATAAATAAACTTTGTAGTTGTAAAAAAGATAATTCTCGACCCCTCTAAACCATGTTCCTTTCCTTACAGAAATGTTTTTCCTGCAACTCCTTCGAAAAAATCTCCATTTGGTCTTCGTGTCAAACTTTATTTGATGACCTTCACACAATTTCATCTTTGGAATTATTCCGAACTTCTGAAAGAATTTCACAGCTTCTTCCAAAGACGGCAATTGCCAAAGTGTTATTATAACCATTTTAAATAGAAAATAACAAAATGAAAACAAAGCAAAAAAGAACAATACTGGAAACAACTGAATAACCAGAAGAACGTTCAAGTTAACTAAGCACATAGGAGTGATAAGAAGATGTTTCACGAGATAAGAACGTAGGTTCCGTGACGACCGGCTAAGTCACAAGTACCTATAATTTAAAACAAATAAAACCAAAATAGGAAAACAATTAATTATTGGCCAGGTAGAAGATAACTCCTTGACATTGCATCACTGAAAGGGCAAAGCAAATCATCAGATATCTATCTGTTTCTGTTAGGCTAAACCCTCCCTTTTATAATTTTAAGTTTCAAACTTAGCAGTAAGATATTAAAATTGAAAACTATTGACTTCTCAGGCTTCTGCAAAATTTATTATGAATTCCTGAATTTTATATGATACAAAATCTCAACTTATTTCCAGCAATTCTCGACTGGTACACATCCTTTAGTTTTGGTTATGACAAAACTGTACTAGTATTTTAATAGGTGTGAGGAACTAGTCAAAAAGTCCTGTTGGATCTTTTTTCAAACCTCTGATAATTGTTCCCCTATCCTAGTCAGAACGAAAATGGCAAAATTCAGTTTGCAGAATCGTCAAGAGACAAATATCAACTAACACGGGTGGTACCTAACCCATATTGAACAGGACACTCTAGGACCCTCGCTCTGTGTTCGATCATCACAGCCTCTGGACAGAACGTGACTTTTTTATCGAACTAGTAATTCAAAACTTCTCTGAGACTAAGTTAACCCAGTTTCAGGCCTAATTTCCTTATAAAATACTCTTGAGTATAAGAGAAATGGAAATCATATTTCTAATATTGCTGTAATAAATAGTTAATTTATGTTGTAACTCCCAGTAGTTATTCTATAGCTACTCACAGGGTGTAAAAAAAATCAAATTCTGGCAGTTGGCTACACTTATAACTATTGAATAATAAAGCTAAAATTTTCAGTTTGATTTTTTATATAACTATTATTTTAAAGAACTTTATTTCATTCATTTAAAAAATAACATAACGGTTACACAACGCCGAATTGCGTGAGCTGTATCCGGGTAATATAATTGAGGTAATTTCATCGCGGCGAATCAAATGGGCTTGTAAAGTTGTTGGGCTTAGTAACGAGAGAATTCCTAAAAGGTTAATATGTGCGGTGCCGAATGGTAAGCGTCCGAGGGGTAGACCGAAGCGAAGGTGGGAAGATTGCATTAAAGCCGATCTGAAGGGACTGGGTTTGGACGGCGAACGGTGGAGGGAGGTGTGTAACAAGCGATTGGTGGTGTCGGCATCGAACCTTCGGGTTCGCTAAGCCTTATTATTATTATTATTATTTAAAAAATAAATTTAAAATTATCCTGATTCACCCATTTTAGGATCAATATTTCTCAATGAATGGAGAACAGAAATTATAAGCAAAGCTAATAAAAATTTGAATAAACAATGGGTTTTCCACTTAATTACTTCTGTCTATACAAAAAAAAAAAATAATCCAAAACACCTCACACCAGCGGGCTGAGAATTGGACACACCAAGCTAACATATCTCCACTTACTTCTTGGCCTATATAGACGAACATGTCCAATATGTGACAATACTAATCTGACTGTAGAACATATATTACAATGTAAAAAAAAAACACTGTAATCAATGACTAAAACTAAACATTGAAGACATAGCTCCATACAAAGAACAGAAGGCAATTAAAAAAACTTTTTTTTATTAAAGTTAAAAAAAAAAAAATTAAAATAAAAATTAAGATTTTTTTCTGATATATATTAGATCTAAATGTACCTGTAGTTTGTTAAGACTGTCTCTCATTTTCTTTTCTTTTATTTCTTCTTCTATTAAGTACTTGTGCATATAATTCTTTCTGTCTATTCCAGGCTTTATCTTTGAGAAATTAACTACAGTAGGTAAGCTATTGATGAAATCCTAAGGAAGTATTTAAAATAAATTTTAGCCAAAGAACCAGAATTATAAGAAATTATTTATTACTTTTTTTCACAAAAATTAATTTTTGTAGCTATTTTTATCATATTTCTTCATTTTATTATGCAATTAACAATTTGTTGCAACTTTGTCCTTATTTCAAAAGTAATAAATTATGAAAAAGGTCAACTTACAATGTAAAATTTAGTTAAATTACATTTGTCTACTAGAGTTCCGGGCACACTTATTTTTTAATTCATAAAAAAAAAAAAATAAAGATACTCACTTGCTGAAAACGCAATACTCTTTTCTGCAATTCTTCAATCCTTCTGATATCTTCATTCTCAATATTAGATTTACTTTTCACCTTCAGTAATACAGTAAAATGTTAGAAATGAAGTAAGTGCTTTAATTAATATATGTAAATATAACTATACATACATGAATTGGAGGTAGTTTTTTAAGTACATCCATGTAGTGCCTGTACTGAGCTTTTGTTCTTAATCGCTTTTCATGCCTTAATTCTGACTTCAATAAATCAATTTCATTAAGTAAAATAGGCGATTCAATGACTTTCATATTGCTGAGGCCACCTTCATTACTGATCAAACCTACAAGATAAACAAAAAAAAATCTTTATTTTAGAACTTTATTTAAGGATTTCTAAATTAAAATAAATATTTCTCTCTTCAAGACAATCTCAATAATGAACTTTAAAAATTCAAATAGAACAGTACTATTCTAGAAACAGTACAAAATAAAAAATAATTATCTTACTCATAGGTGAAGCTTTCATATCCATGACAGCTTTCTTTGGCAGTGTTTTCAGTTTGTCTTTTAATTCACCTTTTTCCATTTCTAAAGAATCAATATCCTTTTGAAGATGATCCATAGTTTCTTCAAATTCTTTTTCTTTCCTTTTTAGTTGCTGGTGAGATTCTTCAAGTTTACGCTTTAAAAAAAGTTGTAATGTCAATAAATATAAAATTCTTGCAAAGATTGCCTATATTCTTTTAAAAATATAAAGTAAACTCAATTAAATTAAGTTTCCAATTATTTAAATGAAACTTTATTTTAGAATTATAATAATTAATCTGAAAACTGTACAGGTATACCGGAGTGACTCACACACATATTCAGGTCTAAATGCCAGCTCGCTAAATCTGTGCAGTTTGGGCTGCACCAGCTGGCACACACACTCCAGTTTACCTGTATAGGTAAACCTCACAGATATACCGGAACATGTATGCACGGCCTTACAGTCTATTATTGAAACATTCTTTGCTTCTCATCTAAATGAGATTTGGAATAATATGAATTAATTATTAATAATTAAAACTTCCATTTTCTTTTAAATTACTAAATTACATAGTCATAGTAAATAATAATGTTGTTTAAAAATTAGTAACATTTCCTCATATACAAAAGAACAAATTATAATCGTTGTGGATAAAAGAAATAACATGAAAATAACAGCTTACAAAACTTTATGAATCAATTAAGAAGTTTGGTTTTAAAACCGGTTACAATCATTCTTAAAAATGTTCAGGACTGATCAAAAAAGATTATATGGAACCATTTCTATATGAAATTGAATCTTTTGGTATTGATTTTTGAAAGATCTAGACAGTTTTGAAGCAAACCCATCTAATATATCATTTCTGATATTGAAAATTTATGAAAAAAAAAATTTATTGGAAATAATGTATGTAACCGGTTTTGAAACCAAACACATCAATTTTATTTAATGTATACCTTTAATGTTTCAATTGTTAACTCATAATCCCTAGTTATATTAGCCAATTTCTTTTCTGATATATCCTTCCTCAAGGACATTTCAGCAAGTTCTTCTTGCTTCGCTCTTAAGGCCATCCTCATTTCCCTCATGTCTTCAGCACTCCTCTCTAGTCGTTTTTCAACACCTGACATTGCATTCAATTTGGCTTTAACAGCCTTGGCACGGACCATTAAAGGTGCTTCAATATTCTCCTATAATCATAAAAACAAACAAAATTAATGACAATATATTGTTTTAAATTGAACATAGAACCAAATGAAATTCAGAAATAATTAAAAATATATTTATTAAAAAAAATTTATTAATAACTATACAACTCAAAAAAACATCATAATGACCCATGGTTGTTTTAAGAGCCCTCAATTTTTATCTATTTGAAATTGGATATTGGTTGGGCAATAACAATCATTTATGAATTTATTTTTTAGTTCAATATTAATAATACACTACACATGATATCCCTAAAAAGAAGAATTTTAAAAATATAACAATTCATAAAATAAAGATTAAAGAGGAAAAGAAAACAGATTTAAGAAAAATATTAGGTTTATTCCAACAAGAATTTTGACTATCATCAAACTGTACTGCCCATGTGCCTGACAGTTCGATGATAGTCAAATTTATGTAAGAACAAATATATTATTAAAATGTAATTATAGATGACTATTAAAGAACAAATACAAATACATTTCTCAATGATTACTAATATTTTATTTATTGTATATAATTATTTTATTTATTGTATATACTTTATATTATTACTTAGCTTCTGTTTATTTTATTGTTTGTTTTTTACATATAGTGGTGTTACCTCTCTATAACCATTGTCCAAGTAACAGAATGTTATATTATTCAATAAATAATTAAATAAAATTTTTTTGAAAAAAAAATATTTGATTTTAACAACTGGTTAAACAGTAGTGTAACTGTTGAGGGTACAATCAAGGTAACAAAAACATAGAATTGAGCCCTACTAGTATGGTTAACTTAAGATGTTTTATAAGCCATGATGAATAACAATTTGAAATTTACCTTTTCTTTCTGCTGAGCAAGGTATTTATCTTCATTATCTTGTAAAGCTTTCACAAGGTTCGAAACGTGAATAGCTATTGCTTCCATAGATTGCTCTATATAGCTTGTATCAGATTTATACTTCTCTGAATCTACATGTTTATCAAAACTCTGTCTCAGAACTTCTTGAAACTTTGACGTCGGCAACAGGCTGTCAGTATCTAAAAAATAATTTTTTTAAGCATAAAAAAATTGAATATTTAATTTCATAATGATAGAATATGCATAGAAGATGCACAATACCATTGGTAGTTAGAGCGAGACCAGTAGCAGTTTCAGCAATAACTCTAGCCAAAGTCACGACATGGGGTGACACTCCACTGAGATCTGAGCCAGTGCTCAAATGAAGATCACCAACATCAGAGTGTCTTCTAACTTGTCTAAGCTGTGACCTGAGTCCTTCAAACCAGCTAGGTGTCTTCTTTAGCACCTCTAAACCATCATTCTAGAATATTAAAATAAATCTATAAATATAAGCCTGAACTTCAAAACAATATTTAAACTTATTTCATTAAACTGAGTTGATGTATTTTATAAATAAGTTACTGCTTTATGATGCACTTATATCCATTCTTATTTGGAAAAGTGTGTTTTTCAACTAACTAGATGAATATACATCATAAAAGGTTATGATAAAAAAATTAATTACACTATCGAGGGAATTCTATTTTTTAAGAAATACTAAGATACATTTAATTTCTAATATTTATATCATTTTAAAGCTTGAACGATTGTCTATTTTCCTATATAATTACCACTAAGACCAGTACATTTTTGAAGATATTGTGACACTTTTTTCATGCCTAACTATACCCAGTATCTTGTCATGTCCTTGAAAAAATATTGAATCTCATCTTTTACAATACTGTTGGAGCCGATTAGGCTTTGTTGAAACTGTGCTTTCAACCAAGGAAACAAGTGGTGGTCAGTGAGTGCCATGTTCTGACTATAGAGAGGATGTGTAATAATGTTCCATTGAAACTGTTATAGAGAAATGCTTTGGCAGACACTGTGTGGGAGAACAAAAGAATTGGGGAGGGTGGAAGGGCTGGTTGACAGAGCGGACTAACACGTGTAAAACAACCGTTGCCTAGCAACCTGATAAATGGTGAGGAGACATCTATCCATGGCTTTCCACACACTTCCATAAAGTGGTGATGAATTTCAAATAGTTTAATACTTTATGTATCAATAAAAAATGATAGAAACTCCAGTGTCAATGGCTACCAAGTGAAAACTGAGCAACTACTACAACAGTAAATCCAACAGCAGCACAGTTTCCTTCCATCCCTAACCAGTTTGGAGACCTTACTGTTGTGATTTCTTAAATGTCATGAGCTAATTAAAAAATAATGGTCTCCTGCAGTTTTCAATCCATGTGAAATTCAACAATTTCTTAGAGATTTAAGGAAATTTTCAACACTGTAGTCAATTCCTGAGTTTCAAATCCTTGACATTTATATAATTTTTCATAAACTTAACAATTATTTTGGAATTTCAATAGAAAATATACATGTTAAAGTATTTTTTTATTTACGTTTGTTGTCTCTTACGTTTCGGGACAATTTTTCCATCATCAGAGCAATCTTTATTTTTACTTTCATCTTTTGATGTGGCACCATTTGTCAAAAATTAAATATTTGTCACATTTTTTAAAACTATTTTTTGGTGTTACACATATTCATTTATATACTAATCAACAAATTGATATATCAATGAATATGTGTAACACCAAAAAGTAGTTTTAAAAAATGTGACAAATATTTAATTTTTGACAAACGGTGCCACATCAAAAAAAGAAAGTAAAAATAAAGATTGCTCTGATGATGGGAAAATTGTCCCGAAACGTAAGAGACAACAAACGTAAATAAAAAAATATGAAGAAAATTGGAAGTTTTATTGCCTTAAATATGATAAAATTATAAACATAAGCTTCTTAATATAAAAAGAAAAATAAGAAAATGTTAAAGTACATAAATTGCACATATTGGAAAAATAGGTATTTAAATGAAAATACCTGAGTAAGTGCCAGTATAATGTTTATGTCAGTGTTAATGCTGTCAATGGCACAGAGAATTGCCTTGCCAGTATCCGCAAGCAACTGCCCTTGATGAATTCCAGTGTCGCCAGATTGCAGGATCAGTGTATTGTGCAGTGTACTGAAATAAGTTACTATTCTTTCCAAACTATCAGTATTTACATTTTCATCCACCTTAAAAAAATAAAGAAATTAGAAAAATTAATTTGAATAATAACTTTAACAAAGTAGGTAGGGCCGTACTTTGTCCTGCTTGAGAAGTTCAATGTAAGCATCCAACGCCTTTTCCTGCTGTACCATATCTAAATAAGAAGATCCAGCCTTGAGTAATGTTTCTGGTTTACAAGTATTTAATCCGTGAACAAATTGGTGAAGTACTCCCTACAAAAACAAAGCAATATTAACAGGCATAATTTTATTTTATCTATAAAAAGTATACAGTAAATATCAAAATTAAAAGATTACATTAGAAAGTGGTACTACTATTACTTGAGAGGTGACTTATGGCACCTACTGTTTGTTTACTAAAAGTGGCCAAATAAATTTCCAGCTTTTAACCAATCCGTTTCATACAAATATTACCTATAATTAGTTTTTGATAAGTCGTAAAACTTATGAATAGTTCAAAATTTCAGGTAGAATTTTTTTTTTTATACTTTTAGCCAATGGATATATATATATTTCTTTTTTTTTTTTTTTTACTTATGCATGGGAGATGAGGAAGACGACCTACGCATAGGTGAACAGGTATGGAGAAAAGTAAAGGCATTTAAATACCTCGGGTCCTATCTGGACAAAGTTGGAACATCCGAAACAAGGTAGAGATGGCAAGAAAAGCCACTAGAATGATGCATCCTGTTCTCTGGAACGACACTATTTCAAATGCGAACAAGCGGCATATCTTCACGGCTATTGTCGATTCCATATTAACCTACGGATGTGAGGCATGGTCGATGAATGCTGGCTTGTATGCCAAAATTAGGACTGTAGAAATGGATTTCTGGAGAAGGTGTCTACAGTTAACGAGGCTGGACAGAGTCCGAAATGAAGTGGTGAGACAGAGAATAGGTGAAGAGGAGACCATCTCTAAGAGGATCGGGAAACGGCGATTGAGGTGGTATGGACACTGCAGGAGAATGTCGGAAGAGCATTGGCCGAACAGAGTCCTGGACTGGCAGCCACCCGGAAAGCATAGGCGACGACGACCGAGAACCACATGGATGGAAGGAGTCCAAGAAGAGATGGCCGGCCAAGGTCTACAGAAGGGTGACTGGGAGGATAGAGATGTGTAGAGCTCTGCTCTGACCTGAAGAGGTATCCCATGTTGGAACACCGGTAATAAGTAAGTACTTATGCAAAAAAAATACCATTCCAACCCATGAAGGATTTTGAATTTAGAAGTTGTTTTTTTTGTTCTCCCCTTTCTTGCCATTTAGATTGAACGGGGATTTCCCCGGGCCAGGAGAAAGGATTAGAGAATTATGCCGAGTTAAAAGTCCTACCGGGCACCAGGATTTCAACTCGTAATCATTTTTTTATCTCTAACTTTGGTTATCAGGTTGCTGAGCAGTCCGCTCGGCCATCCCACTCCAAGGATTCAGTAGTTTATAAGAATATACTGTTTTTTTTTTGTTAATAGTTGTGCAAGGAGCAAGGTGGACAAGCAGGCTAGCGTGTGAGCAAAATAGGCGAAAACCGAAGATAATGAATGGATCCCTGTACCGGAGATTATAACTTTGGCATTAATCTCCCATTCTCTTCTCTTGTCAGGGAAAACCCCTCTTAGCTGAAAAGTGCAGAAAACAAATTTTGTGCAAGGAGATTAAATCAAGATGACGCTCAACTGACAGGTTTTCTAAATATTTAATTAACCCACTCACTATATGATAATCTCAAATATCCCAAATTTGAACTTTTCAATTTAGTATGAATAGTATACAGTTGTACTTATTAGGATATATCCCAGACATTAGGAAAGAAAGGTTGGGTATGAAGTGAGAAATATGCAAATACGAGGAAAAGATTGCATCTAAAGAAAGCATATTGAACATTTGGAAAGAACATTTCCAGGAACTTCCCAATCAAGGAGACTCCACGAACGAACAAGACATGGACCACACTGAAAACCTTGACACAGAAGAGGTTGAAAAACCAGATACACAGGATGTAGAAATAGCTATCAAAAGGCCCCAGAGATAGACAACCTACCATCAGAACTGTTTAAAGATGAAGGAGATGACTTAAGAGCCAAGCTACTACAATTAATCAAGAAAATATGGGAAGAGGAAAGGATACCTGAAACTTGGAATAAAGACCTAATCTGTCCTATCCTAAAGAAAGGCTCCATGTATGAGTGTAATAATTACAGATGCAGAGCACTTCTTCCAGTTGCCTATAAGATAATGACTAATACCCTACTAAACCGGATATGTCTGTATTGCAAGTATATAAAAGGTGACCAACAAGCTTGATTCAGAAAAAGGAGGAGCACACTAGACCAGATCTTCATCCTAAAATAAGCACACGAAAAACAATGGGAAGTAGCTCAGGATGTCCAGGCCATGCCCTATTTGTCGATTTCAAAGCCGCATATGATTCTGTGGACAGGAGCTGTCTTTGGAAAATCATGACTGAACTGGGAATTCCCGGTAAGTTGGTGAGATTGACAAAGGCATGTACAAATGACCCCAAATGTAGAGTCCTAATACAAGAAGTATGTGAAGCCTTCAAAGTTCGAAAGGGCTTACAGCAGGGAGATGGACTTTTACCGATGTTGTTCAACTTAGCCCTGGAGAAGGTAATACTAGCAACATCGCAGGAAAATGGAGGAGTCCATTTCAGAATGAATCATAAAATATCCTTGGATACACAGATGATATAGCTGTTCTTGGAAGTAATCAAAATGACATTGGGAAATTCACTACAACACTGATAAGAGAGAGAGAGAGCATGAAACAGGCTTGTTAAGGCAGCAAAAGACCTACATGGTCTGTAATGCCAACAGAAAAAAAAAAGTTTGAATAGTAGACAATCTGATGTATTATCCAGATATTTATTTCATTTTATAGTATTGCTTGTAATATTGAATAATATATGTTTGAGGTTGAATTATACGAATGAATTCAGATTGAGTAAGAATATACAGGTTGAGGAAGTTCACAACAGCACCAACTTTCAATGTTTTAAACAAAATAGTTAATGACTGTGGATTGATGGTTGACTGTAGAGAATAATTGAAGAGAAGAATGGTTAGGCTGATCAGTCAAAAAAACAAATTAAAAGAATAAATAAGTATATTTATATAATTTCTTTTTTACTGATCACCCCAACCATTCTTTTCTTCAAAATAGATTATCTCTTGATCTTCAATTAATGTGTATCTATTTTGATTTAATTATTAGGTTGTAGGATTATTATGGAAGAGTACATTAAACTTAAAAAATAAATAAGTGAACTAGTTTCGTATGTGATTATTGAGTCATCATCTTACCATTAAAATATAAATATGCGTAGAAAACCTTGACATGGCTGAAAACTGTTGTGCTTTTACAACAGTGGTTTTATCAACAGTAGCGACAGCAGGAAATTTGTCTCTTAACTGTGAAATCAAAACCTGGCATTTTGCAAGAAGACGTGGCATCAAAAGAACCAACATTACAGCATCATTGTCTCCTGGTAATAAAAACAATACAACAAAATTAATATTATCAAATGAAAAATATGATTTTTATATTACTATACAATTGTTTTGTAAGATCAGTAATGGACCTTCATAACAATTCTCAACCTTTATTTGCTTGACATTTTAAGTACCCATTTTTAATACTTTTCTCTTCAATTCACTTCATACATTATGCTATTATTTTTATTATTTTTGTCCTATAAATAATTAAACTAAATGTTTAATTTGTCATTATAAACAAGTCATGCTGTATAACTGGCTATTAATATTAATTATATTGTTTTTGCTTCCTCACTACCAAAGGTAGGGAAGCATTGTGTTCGTGCGAGAGATTAAAAAAATTTTTTTGCTCAGAATCGAAAATTTCCACTCGCGTTTTACGTTTCAGACATCAAGGATCAAATTTGGTTCGGTGTCTGTCTGTCTGTCTGTAGTCAAATCAGCATATCACCTAGTACCGTTCATCCAATCTTCATGAAATTTTCAGGGATTATGCTGATTGGTGCCTAGATGGTCCCATATCAATTTTATCAAATTCCATCCAGCACTTCCGCTTACGTACGCGCAAACGTATATTTTTAGATATGCCAATATTTTAGAAAGAGCTCGTTCGATTTGGCTCAAAGTTAGATAAAAGGTAGACTTTGGTGAAAAAATAATGTAGTTTCAATTTCATTGAATTGTGTCCAACATTTTCTCTTATATGTGCACTACTAATCCGCCGTCCGCGCATTTTTTCTGAAACTACTAGACCGATTTTTTTCGAATATGGATATAAAATCAGAGGTCACCCGAGGATCATCCTCCTTCAACGAAATTACTATTTTATTCATGTTCAGCATGTCAAATCCAAGTTAGGTTAATTAATAAAATATTAAAATTAAAAAAAAAAACAGAATAATGAATCAAAATAAAAAAATACACAAACAAGAAAACATTAGGTACAAATAAACTTTGTAGAACAGTATGTCATGTAGTAACTAACCGAAAAACGTAAAGCAAATAAATTTTGATAATTATTACCAAGGTACATTACTATACTCCATTACTAGAAGCAATTGGCCTTGAAAAAGATATATATTGTTGAACTTGACAAAGATTTTTCTAGAACAGTATGTCATGCAGCAACTAACAAAGAAACGTCAAGCAAATAAACTTTAATAATTGTTAACAACGTACATTACTATACTCCATTAATAGCAGCAACTGTCCTTCAACAAGATATATTGTTGAATTTGAAAATGATTTTTGTAGAATTTTAATAAAGTTTTAAATCATAATAAAAATAATAGAAGTTGGTTGGGGATGCAGTTAAAGATTAACGTAAACACAAATAAAAAGCTTAATTTTTTTGTGTGCTGACATCATCTTTGACGGCACCCCCAACCAACTTCTACAATTTAATCTATGGACAGCAATATCTCTACTATATTTAAAAATTCTTAAGTCTCTAGGTAAACAAGAGATTCACTAACAAAATTTTATTATTTTTTATTTAAAACGTTCTTAAAGAATGAATTATTCCATAGAATCGATAAATAAAAAAATGGATCTGCAATGGAATGGAAAGCAAGCAAGAAACAATTATCAAAATAATTTAATTTAAATTATATATAGTCACAAATATACCTCCTCGGACAAGGAAAAAATCTGGCATAAAATTGACGAGGTATTGAACATGCTGCTGAGCCTGGTGTACTTCCATATGCCTCAGCTCAAGATCAATGGCACGAGCATGTGCTTTTGTCTCTGCAAACATTTTCTATAAACATAAAATAGTTTCAAATAAGTAAGTATAATACAAAAACTAAGAAATTAATTAAATTTGACATAATCATTAAATAAAGTAATTTAATGAAACTTACTTATTAATTTTTTTTTAACTTAGCAAAACTATGATTAAAATTTAATTAATAAAATTATCTAATTATGAAATGACATACTTTGAAATCATAAATTTCAGATGGCATTGGTGATGCCTTAGAACTACTGTCAACTTGTAGTCTTAAATCTTGATTTTCTTCCTGAATACGGCTAACAAGTTCTCGGAATTTTACAATTGTTAATTCTCTATCTGCTAGACTTTCCAGCAACTGCTCAGTCTTTCTTTGTGCCTAAAAAATAATGTTAAAAAAAATAGGATATATTATTTTAAAAAATTTCCCATAATTGATAAAATGGTGGGTTATTCTAAATCTTAAATCAAAATATCTTGTTTTTTGTTATGTTATGTCAGGAGCTGGTATTCAAGTGAATTGCCAAATGCCTTATAAAATAAACGTTAATAATATATTAAGCTAACCACCACCAATAACTGTATTATCATCTCTAAAAAAATATAAAATAAAATAGTACTATTTTATAATTTCTGTACCTCCCATATCTGTAAATTTTTAAGATCAAGTTCTTGTCTGAAGTCTTGTTCTTGCTCTTTGAACCCTTCTTGAAGTTGATCATTAACTTCTTGAAGCTCTTCAAGTTCAGCAACAGTTTCTTCCAACTCTTTCACTTTTTCTTCCAACGAAAGCTTTTGTTGACCCAATGTTTCGACCATCTCTTCAGCACCTAAAGCTGCATCAACCTACCAATCCAAAAATCATAGAGAGTTATTAAGAAAATATAAACAGTTTTAATAATGCAATGCAATACTAAACATTTTAAATTGTTTATTCAACCAATACAATATAATTCAAACTCTATTGAAAACAACATTAATCATTTTATTTTTTTTTATTTTTAGCTGTATATATTTCTACTGCGTAATTGAGTAAATATAATAAAAATGACCTGGGCATGCAGCTCATCAATCTGCTCTTCCATTTCAGTTATTCTTGATTTAAGTTTTTCATCACATTTCAGAAGCTGATCAAAATCGGATTGTTTCTCTTCAAAATCTTTTAAAAGTTTTTGCTTTTCATGTTTTTCATGAGCTGATAAATCTCTTAATCTGAAAGATAAACAAAACATAAACTTTTACTGTTGAATAGAGCTTTTCTTATCAAAATATAAAATCATGCTATACAGTTTTGGGATATAAACTGCCCTTGACTCTTCTGTAAAACAGGGACTCTCAAACATTTCCAAATCAAAACATGATTATGAAATCATTAATTTTTCTAAACTAGTTTTTGGAGGAGGTTCCATTTTGTTTCAGAATCAAGAGTGAAAGATAGAGGTTAATGGAGATATCACAGCACAGCTTGATTTGAGAAGTATTTGAATGCTAAATGATTATCAAGATGAGTATCACCTCCAGGAAGTCTCAAGAAATTTTTTGAGTTCTCGTTTCTTTCAATCATCTGTCAGACTGGAGAACAATCGATGCCACCGGAGAGGAGTGTCATGGATAGGGGATAAGATGATCTTGAATTATGGGCAGAATACCAAAAAGAACCCTAAAAAGATTCTGATAATAAAAAAGGTATTTAAGGAAAACAACTCTTATAGGATTAGATTGAGAGAAAATAGGTTTCCAGTTCACAAATGATTAATACTGGAGTTAAAAGGAAATGCTTCTGTACACATGCAATCACTATAATATACAATCACTGGCATGCTGGATATTTATTAACACAGTATTTATAAAAGAGCTGAAAATATGAAAAGTACAAGGGAGTAGTGGTTAAATTATAATTAGGAAAACATTAAAATTTTTGTCAATTACTGTTATCTCTGACTCAAAGTTTAGGTATTCATGAATCAACAAAATTTCAATAATTGATAAATTAAATATTAACATATACCAAATAATATAAATTACATTAACCATAAGTCACATTTTCACAATGCTGATAGATTTGTCCTCACTATATAACAGGCCATATGGCTTCTTTTAATCATGAATGATGAGTTGGGGGCTTTGGAAAATGTTCTGCAGTTTCTCTTTTGTCGAGCCACTGTCAGAACGTCAACTGTTATCGTACAGTATCCACTTTTCATCACAAGTAACAATTCTGGACAGAAAAAGTTTTTTTTTTTGTTTAGGAAAAGAAGTGTAGCACAAACTTCATAATGCTGGTTTTATTGGTGGCCGTTTAATGAGTGTGGAACCCAACTTTCATGCTTTTTTATCTTTCCAATCATGTTGAAGTGGTCATCAACGGTCGATTTGCTAAGGCTTATTTTCCTGCAAGTTCTCAAACAGTTTTTCTGGAGTATCTTCCACCAAAGCCTGCAAACACCGTCATCAAGAGAGGAAGTCCTTCCACAACCTTCTTTGTCTTCAAGGGCGAAGTCTCCTTTCCAAAATTTGTGAACCACAGTGCTCTCATTAATACTGCTCTCACCCCAGACTTGATTGATGTTTCTGACCATCTGAACTCCATTTCGGACGAGTTTAAACATGTATAAAAAAATTATACAAAAATCACGCATTTAAATCTTAGTAAAGACTGAAGACTACAGAGGTAAACAAACGTTATCGTTTCGAAGAGGATTAATAAGTGTTGACATTCATACAAATAAATAATACAGTAAACGTAAACAGTTTGTTATATAAAGGAGTATTTTAAAGAAAAATCAAAATCCTTTATTATTTTCCAGACAATCCAATAACATAAGAAAAGTTAAAATTCATACAAACCTAACAAGGGTATCCTTAAGTTTTTCATTTTGCTGAAGAAGCTGCTTCATCTTGAAAGGAGTGGCTTCATCCTCATCTACTGTAATTCCAGCTGCTTCCATTTTGTCAGAAAGCTCTGCTTTCACTATTTCCAGTTCCATTTCTAGTTCTTCAATCCTTTCCATTGCTTGCTCAAGTTCTTTTTGTAAAGATTCTGCCTATAAACAATGGCATTTAATCATTATCAGAATTGAGGGAAAAATAAAGAAAGAGAGAAAAGTAAAGATATATCAATTTGAGTAAAGAGCTATAACCAAGCCAATTTGTCCTTGGTTTTATACCCCAATAGGAAGAAATACATTTTCAGAAGTAAAAAATTATCTTTTTTAAAAGTTTGCATAATTTTAGTGTCCAGTATCGCCAAAACTGAAGGTCATGATAATAAAACAATATGTAACAAAGTTGTAATAAATTTTGTCCTATATAAGTTTTAAATGAAAAAGTTTCTTCCACAAACATACATACACTACAAAATATGTGAAAAATTGAAAAACTCAAATTTCGAAGGTTTCTTGCGCACCAGGCACACACGAGGTCGAAAACTTATGTCTTATTATAAATTTGATATATTAAATGATTAATAAATCATAAATATACGGCTTCTATTCCCAAATATTTATATTCACATTTCCATTCATTATGGTTTTTATAGCAAAGCAGTAGCCACGTTTAAGAGGGTACTAAGTCAGAATTAAGAGTCAAATTTTAGTTATAAATTAATTATACCATTTTTAAGGATATTGCAAATTTATCAATCTAAGTGGTTATAAATAAAGTTTAGGAGAAAGCTGATTTATTTCAGAAGTATGTAAGTACATGTACTATTAAATTCAAATGTAGTTTTTGTAGTTCCAAAAATAACTATAAAATAAAATATTGAATTCAATACAATCTGCATTAGCTACAGGATTCATGATACAAAGAGGATGAACAACAATCTGACAATAAATTTTTAATTAAAATTTAAAAAATAAGCCATTTCTTTCAGCCACCTTACCTTTTCTTCAGCCATTTCTTTGTCCAATGTGGCCATTTCTAATGTGTCCGCCATTTCAGATAGTTCATCTTTGGCATCAAGAGCTTCTTGACGCTCTCGCTTTGCTCTCTCTAGATCTCGTTTTAAGGCAGCTTGAGATTCCATTATTTTGTTTTTAAACTCACCAGATTGTTCAAGTTGGATGTTAAGAGAATCAAGCTCATGTGATTTTTCTTTATATTTAACTGTAAACAAAAAAAAATTGAAATTAGTTCCCCAAGAAACGATTTGAAATATGAAACCAAGGAAGAAAGTTAATATACTAAAATGGCTAAAATACCTCAAAAAAAAAAAAATTAAATTCACTGACAAACAAAATATATAAATATAGATATATTAAGGACAGATAAATGGGCCATGAAAATTTAACTCATTTAATGCCAAATTACAATATATCCTTCCGTTTGCGAGTGCGTCATAATATTCGCTATACTTTCAGTCAGCACTATTATGGTTAATAATTAGGCGAGGAGTTGACCAAAAAATAAAAAATAGTAGAAATAATTATTGGTGTGAGATGTCAAAATTAACAATATAATATGTAATAACTGTTTGAGATTGTTAAAAATTGTTCTATAATAGATAGCACATTGAATACCTATTCTACTTAGGATTTCATCTCTAAAATTTTGCATTTTGTATTTCTCTGAAATAATGCAAAAGGCTAATTTTTATCAAAAATTGTAGGAAACATTAGAAACAGGAGATAGTAAAAACAAGCGAATTATATCTCATTTTAAAAATAAATTGTTGCTCTGTGGGGGTCTTAATAATGTTTAAATAAGTGAATTCTTGAAAAAAATGGCTGAATAATTACTTTCTCCACTATAAAGAATTTAAAAAATAAGAAATGTTTAATATTCATTTATATTATATTGCTAATACTTAATTTATTTATTTGAGGAGTTGATCGTGGGGAGGGGGGGTGCGGTCAATGAAATAGTATTATTTAATTTAGTATAGTATTTCTATAATTTAGTAATTATTGACTGCATCCTCCCACCTACCTCCCCCCCCTGATCAACTCCTCATATTATATAACGGTCAACCATCTCTACATCATTAATTTATTTATTAATATTTTCTGCTAATATAATGGGAATTTGCTCTCTGATCTCTATTATAATTGCCCTGAATTGAAACAAAATGTAATAGTTGTCAATAAACAAGGTTTTAAAAAAATATTCATTCCCTCGTGCTCCTATTCTCTGGATCCAGAAGTATTTGAGTTAATGCGTGTTTTGCTGAGTGAGCATTTGCGAGTTTGTGCGTGTGCCTGTATGTGTGAGTGTGAGTAATTACTGCATTGCAATAAAATTATTATGAAGTTTATCACTGATGCTTGATTCATAAAGTTTTCATTGTTTAAAATATCCTGTTGCAACATGCAAAATCAATCAATGGTTCCCAGCTCAGAGAACTAACCTTAAAATAATTAAAAATGATCATATTATTTTTCTTTATATTATATAAATGAGTGAAATACTGACTTCTCATGGTTTCTAATTTTTCAGATAATTCCTTGATCTGTTCTTTGAGTTGTTCGACCTCAGGGCTAGGTTCTAGCTGCAGCTTTACAGGCTGCGGATTGCTGACTGTTGGTCCCGGAGAAACTACTTGTCCTGGAGTGAACTGAGGCTTCAAAGTTTCGACAAATCCTGTCTATAAAATCCAATTTGTTAAAGAATATACACCCTACAATGGTTTTATTTAATTTAATTACAAATAAGGCTTTGATCAAGAATGACTATGCAATTTAGGTATAAATTAATTAATAAGTAAAAAACTTTGATGTCTCACACCCCTTGATTCCCTGGTTACCTCCTACTCATAGACTAGTTTTGGAAATAAAAAATAAATAAAAATCAAGTAATAAATAAAAAACTAAAAAACAGAGAGCATTTGATGTATATATTTGTATTGTTATACTTATACATGTATTTAATTAAATAAATTTTGGAGGGTTAGAAAAAACAAAAAAAAAAATTTTTAAAATGTGATTTTTGATTTTCTAATATTATTTTATAAGGCTTGTATGGTAAATAATCTTTTATCCCATTAGTATATTATTATTTTTTCATTTCTATAGCCTCAGTAATCTTGCGAGATCTATTTTTATGGCAACATTTTGAGACAAATCTTCTTGAATGTATGCTTAAAATCAATGAGAACAAATAATTGATTATGCTTGATATAAGTTTACACACCACTTGAAATTTCAATAAAGCAGGACAATGTAGAAACATTTTTCAAGGTTACCCAAGACAAAAATATTTTCATATTAAAATAAAATAGAAACTCAATGCATCATTGGTAATCACTGCAAAAAATCTATACCTAGTGCACTTAAGTACATTCTAATACTAACGATCTCTCTCTATTTATATCACTAACATGTGACTAATAATCTTTCTCTAAATAAATCACTAACATTAATATAAATCTGATTAATTTTGGCTAAAGCAGAATAAATATCCATCATCTCAATCTAGCTAGATCTAAAATATTTCTAATCAGTAAAACTATCACTTGTTAATTTCAGTACTTACTGAAAGATGTAAAATAGGTTTAATAGCCTCTTTATTTAATTATTTTGTTGTAAAAATTTCTTTCAATAGAATATTGGAATAATGAAATATCAACGTTACTAAATGTCAGCTTGATGTTATGAATCAATGCAGCGTAATAATAAATTAGCCTGTTCTAAAATTATTTACCACCAATTAATCCAAATTTGTAATGTACCCTAACTTGGGATGATTAGAATCCAGTAGGAGATTTCTTGGTCCCACCAAAAAAAGATTCAAATTACAACAAAACCTTTGTTATGAAAATAAGGACATTATTCACAATCTCTAAAACAGGTAGTAGCAATAGTGCTAGGTCCTGAGGCATTTTACCAAGTTTCCACTATATATATATATTTATATATATATATATATATTTTTTTTTTTTTTTTTGAGATCCAAGTTATAGTACATTTTTTTAGTAAACCTATGGGAGTATAAATTATCGAAACAATCATTTATGGCCCGTGATCGTTAATATTTCAAAAAGAATATTTAATAGGCTCCTGATTATTTTCTTCATGCATGAGGTTTACTTGCAGTTTTATCATAAATATTAAAATTTAACAGTAAATAATTAGATAGTATTCTGCAAACTAAACATTTTCTATAACAGTTTTCTATTAATTATAAGTAGTAGCAAAATGGAAATAGTAATAATTGAACAATATTTATACCTAATTATTTATGTACATATACACTCACTCACATGGGTATATGTAATTTAATGTCAACACTGCTTTGCTATAGATCGACATCGATAAATTGGCCATGCAAGGACGAACTCATGTGGTACAAAATTGAACTAACATGTAGGGTTAGGGAATGAGAGTGAGAATAGAATGAGAAGAGTGAGAAGAGAATGAGAATTTCATTCAACTTTATGCAGCATGAGTTTGCCCTCGGGATACCAGATAATCGTAATCATACAATAGATATAAAAATTGAAGAGGAGAATAGTTGGGGTGGTCAGTCAAAAAGGAAGGCAAAAATAAATGATAATATTTATTTTTACATATGCCGACGTTTCGACCTGAAGTTCAGGCCTTCATCAGGGCTAAGAAACTGACCCTTTTTAGGGCTTTTGACTGACCACCCCAACTATTCTTCTCTTCATTATCCACGACAGTCAACCAATTACCAATTATTAAGATATAAAAATTGTATTTGTTTATAATATCTTTCAAATATTTTTTTCAACCAAACATGGTAAGAAAGCAAATGTCATAAGATATGAAAATAAAAATAAGCAACCATAGTTTTAATTTTAAAAAAAAGTCAAAAACTAAAACATAAAACAAGATACTAAAAATAAACAAGAAAATAAAAATAAATAAGTTAAGTAGAAATAAATAAGATATATAATTAAAATAAATAAGATATAAAACAAAAATATATATTTTAAACATTAAATATTAAAATTAATAAACTAGAAATAAAAATTTTAAAAAATAGCAACTAATTAAATAAACTAGCAATAAACAAAACAACTACAACATAAATAAAATAAAAAGATATAAAATAACTACTAAATAAAACAAATTCTAGTACTAATATTAAAATAAACTGTAAACAAATAAAACAGAAACAAGTATTATAATAGACAATATAAAAAAAAAAAATTAAATCATTTATAAGTTCATTTTATTATATCCAAGAAAATATGGAGTCTTCCTGAAATAATTGCGATTTTGTTAAGGTCACAAATAAAAAATCAGAAATGTTACTTCAACAAAATTTCATCAATGAATCAAAAAAATGCTTAATGAATGGCAATTAATGTTAATTTGTAACGTTATTAGTTGATCCACAATCTTTCATTAAAATCAAGATCTGTTTAATTTGGGAATTCTAATAATTTATTTTCAAATTCTTTTGTTATCTAATTTTTCATTAATTTAGGAAGGCTGAAACAAAACATTTAACAAGCAATATTTTAAAAATGTAGAATTTTTTCAAAATTACTTTGAACTGCTTCAATATTTTTGTATCTTTTTCAAGAAAGTGCAAGAATTTACTTTTTTAAATCAAGAGCTGCAAAAATTTTTTTAGGATGGGTCAAAACAAAAAAGGTTAAAAACTACTGGAATTGAAGTTAGGTTAAAAGAAAACTCAGCATTAGCTTCCAGAGATCTTTAACTGTAAGTTGATAAAAACGAGAAATCTCACTTTTTTTATATACCTATGAAGCGTAAAACCATCATAGTAAACAGAAGAAAGAAAACAGTATTTTTAAATGTAGTTGAAGTATTATTTTCTTTTAAATATCCTTTTCATTAAGAATATTAAATAATAAAATTATTTATAAATATTTCAATCAGAAAAAATATAATATTAAACTATTTAGTTTTAATAAAATGTAATTATGCATACATAATAATAAAATTAAATAAATAAAAGTTAGTATTGAATGAGTATATGTACAAACTATTTATATACTGTTAAATTGTGACATTAAAATTACAAATAAAACATGACCAGAGTTAAATAAATACATTTCGACCACAATTCGTACAAGATATAGGTAAACGTGTTATTAACAAAGAATTATTAAATTAGTTCAATGAACAACATTGTTATATATTAGAGAGTTATACGACATTATTAAAACAATTAAAAATGCAACAAGTTATATTAAAAATGTAGTAAACCATAGTAAAATATTACATAAAATAATTTTCCCAGATAATGCATTAATTAAAGCTTTGTTCAAATGATTATTTCTTCTATTGGAACCAGAACTAAAAATAATTTTAAAAGATCATCAATTTAAATTAAATAAAACGTTCAAAGATAAAATGTTCTATCCCATAATTCATATTAGCACACAAAAAGAATACCGAACTTGCTGATTTGATGATCATCAATAAATATAATATCATGATTTCTATTTCAAGCTTTTATAAGAATTAAACTGGAAAAATATCTGAAACAGCAATTCATCATTGTTATATTGATTTTTTATATTTTACTTACATCTTTAATTAAACCAAATTCAAAAATAAATTTGGTCAGCTTGATTACTAATGATAAACGAGGCCGATGGTGGTGAACAAAATGAAATAAATTGTTTTAAATTTTAGAACAACTATGAATGAGGATATTGGTGGGGCGATATCACACTTAACCAGTAGGTTTTCGCCTTTAATCAATTAGATAATAAAGGATACCCACTTTCCGAGGCTGGGTGTGCCCCAGGAGGATCCCGTGATCCCAAGATTCACAGCTGATGAAAC